TGGGGCAGAGGCCTCTTCGCGGCGCGGGCGCGGAGGGTTCGCACTCGCGCGGAACAACTTATCGCGCGATATCACGACCGCATGGGCAGACACGCGCGGAGGGGGTGTGTTCCGCATCGCCGGACCGGCAGGGCGCAGGGGCGTGTTCCGCGTTTACGCGGTAGACGGCTGGCGCATCGCGGGCGCCGGTCCCCTCCGCGACGGACGTTCCGTAAAGACTTTCTGATCACTGTAGCACGGTTTTGGCTGGCCCTGAAAATACCTACGCCCTCGGACTGTGAGAATTCAGATTCCCCCTTGGCTCAGATTTCACCTTCTCTCACGAAGAACCCTCGACGACCCTGCGAACTGCGAACTGCGAACTCTGCGAACTCTGCGAACCCCTGCGAAATAGCGTTTAGCGTTGCGATAGCGTTGCGAACTCCCTGCGAAGCCTAACACGGGCTGCGAAGAGGCCCTCCTGCGTCCCGCGGAGCGCCAGCTCAGCTGAGTTGTCATCAGTCCACCGTCCTTCCCTCTTCCGCTCCCTCTACCGCGTTCTCCCGCGTACTGCGCCGCCCGAAGGGCACCCGACACGAACCTGCTTCTCCTCGCGCTTCGCGAGACGTTCCGCAGCCCGGTCTCGACCTCCTAGGGCTCTCGACCGTCTCCTTCTTCCGTCCTTACCGGTCGGTTGAGTGCATCACCGGCCACAGAACGATCGCTGACGAGAGTGCGCGCAGAATTTGAGGCTGCCTTCGGTGTACGGACGTCGAATGAGGAGGTCTGGACTTCGCTGAGGAAGCCGCAGGTGTCGCGCGAGTGCCGACAGTTCTTATGGAAGACAATACACGATGCGTTCATGGTGGGGAACCACTGGCTCAAGCCCAGGATGTCCAGCCAACTGCAAGAACGCGCAACGTGCAAGGTGTGCAACGAGCTTGAGTCTATGGACCATATCCTGCTGTGATGTAAAGCGGTAGGGAGGGAGACGGTATGGGACTTACTACGCACTACCTGGGCACTAACCAAATCGAAATGGCATGAGCCGTCGTGGGGAGTAATGATAGCGGCAGCGGCTGCTCACTTCGAAACCGACAATGGAGGCCGTCTCCGAAGCAGGGAACATCTATGGACGATCCTCTGGACGGAATCAACATACCTCATCTGGAAGTTGAGATGTGAACGTGTCATAGCAAATGAGGGCAAGGAGTTCTCACAAGCGGAAGTCGTGAACCGTTGGTATGCCACGTTGAATTCAAGACTAACACTGAATAGACATGCCACAGCGGCGTACTTGGGTAAGAGAGCACTACGCCCGGACACGGTCCGTAGCACGTGGCTCCCCATTCTGGACAATGCGGTTGATCTTCACCCGTCCTGGGTAGAAGTAAGCGGGGTTTTAGTGGGTATTAAGCGGATAAATGTCGGAGAAGGTTGAGATTCCGCCTCCGATCATCGGAAGGAGTTTTTTGAAACTCCGATCTGACTTTGAGCCCCACACAGCGTGCGTAAAAGCATTTCCTCGTGGTATGTGACGTATCTACTCTACTAACCGCGCAGACGATAGCGGAGGTTACATCCCTCTGATATCGTAGGTGTCACAAGCTTCATCTTGCGTTACATGACAAACCTGTAATAAGGACTACTGTGACAATAGATCTTGAGCTCTACCAAAAAAAAGTACTAGCATCGCCACCCAAGGATAGGAGTCCGAGTACGTTGGAACTTCTGCGCGCGATCCTCAAGTCTACTCTGCACTCTCCTCACCCTTGGCGGCAGCTCTGAAGTAACAGCCTGCGAAACTCGAGCCTAACCCCGACTGCCGCCGGTAAGCGCACCTCCCTCTACTACACACCGCACGTCGATAATCGATGTCTGCGCGGAGATAGCAACGCATACAACGGCGTATAAAGTACGTAGTGTGTCCATCTTATCTGACGATCGCCGACTGGAACTGATTACTTCACCTGCCGCCTGCTACCAGTTGCTTCTCGTGCACATAAGCCGTAAGTAGCCTGAACGGCAACGCGGACGTGTGCAGGCTACCGTCGCTAGTCCACACCTCAGCGCAATCGCGGACCCGGCTTTTTGAGTCAGAGTAATCGATGCAGCGTGTGAATGGGCGCCGCCCAGTCACGCCTCAAGGACACTCAAGCGAGCGGAGGTACGTACAAATGCGAGTATGCATGCATCCGTCCATATGGATGTCGATTCGAAGAGGGTTTTTATATGGCGCTCACGCCACTCGTCTCTCCGGACGGCGGACTTAATCCCACTTGTCGGTATATGACTGGCCGCGTATGACGGTGTGCTGACTCACAGCTTCGAGGGAAAACACGTCGTATGGCGCCCAGATCCGAGGTTCCGCAGGACCCTCTTGCTAAGCTACCATGCAGCCAAGTCCGAATCGATGATTCTAGTTCCATGATGTCTATAAAATACGCTTCGAACACGCCGACATCCCCATATCCCCCCATTCACCCACCTCTAAATCGATCGAATACACATTATGTCCCCGATTACCTGGCTCGTTACCGGGTGCGTCCTCCCTTTCTTCCTCGTACACTAACCAGCCACTAACCTCCCCCGCCCTTAGCGCAAACCGCGGCATCGGCCTCGAACTCGTCAAGCAACTCGTCGCCGTCCCTACCAACGTCGTTGTCGCAGCCTGCCGTAACCCGGATAAAGCAACCGCGCTCGCCGAGCTGAAGAGCAGCGCAAAGGGCACGCTCCACCTCGTGCAGCTCGACGTCTCCGACTTCGACAACATCCGCGCGCTCCCGAAGCAGCTCGAGGCCATCCTGGGCTCCACCGGACTCGATTACCTTATCAGCAACGCCGGAATCGTACGTTCCTCTCCCCGCACTTTACATGTGCTGCGGCTGACCGCACGCGGTGCAGGCGATCTTCGACACCGCGTTCACGCTCGACCCGGAGGCGTTGCTAAACGTCGTGCGCACGAACGCGGCTGGCCCTGCACTGCTCTCCCAGGTCGTCCTGCCGTTCCTCGAGAAGGCGCCGACGAAGAAGATCCTGCACGTCTCGAGCACGGCAGGCAGCATCGCGAGCGTCGCGCAGCTACCGCCGGCGTTTATGTCAAACGCGTCGTATCCGATCTCCAAGGCCGCGCTGAACATGCTCGTACGTCCGCTCGTTTGGTAGATTCTGGTCGCGGGCTGACGAGGAGCATGCGTGCAGGTGTACAAGCAGAAGGTCGAGCGGCCGGACCTCACTGTGATTACGCTATGCCCGGGGTGGGTCCAGACAGGTGCGTCCTTCGTGCTCGCACTGTGTTTTGTTGCATCGCTGACGCTCATCGCAGACATGGGCGGCGCGGACGCGGCCCTGAAGCCCGAGGAGAGCGTCGCGGGCATCATCAAGGTGATCACCAACGCGACGAAGGCGGACAGCGGCAAGTACCTGCGCCACACGGGAGAGGAGATTCCGTGGTAGAGAATGATCGCGACGTCTCAGGGCAACCAATTTGTAGCCATTTGCTGGTAGAAACTTGTATCACTGTATCTCGAACTATAGCAGTGTTTGGAGACTTTGAGTGCCAAGAGCTCGCTGGTTACCCACAGCGACCGTTAGAATTTAATTCGACTTTGACAGTATTGGAGAACACAGAGAGTATTACCTGAGCCTGCGAAGGTTAATTCTGCGGCCTGAAATTCGCGGGCGCCAAACCTACCGGCAAATGCCGAAACTGCTGAAATATCGAGAATATTCGGGTTCTCCGAGTCAACGGTCACGCACCCGATTGAGTAGCGCGTAACTAGATCCAAATAAACTTGCGCCCTATATGAGTGGACAATGGACGGTCAATTTGTTGCTCGGGATATTCTAGAAATTGTGTAGCGCAGCTGTTCGGGTACAAGCGCCCGCACCCGCCGACGCGACGTCGCGCGCCCGCGCAGCTCAGAGTTCACAAATAAGTATACGCAAAAAAGCGGTAGAGGGAACTGCAAGCTCGGATAGCACTCTGAGATTGTAAGTAGCGAGGGCAGAAAATATGCGATGCTGAAAACAGGCGTACAATCAGGCTCAGGTCAGTGCCGACATAAGTCGGCACTTCTGGTGTATGAATCGCGTCGGAATGCGTGTATACACCATTCGCAATGCCGCGTCGTGGCCGAAGTTTGGACTGGCCGGCCCGGCTGTGTTGACGCGTTGTTTGCCCACGTTTGACGCGGACGATCATGTAGTTCGCTTCATCGCTGCGTGCTCCTTGTTGATGTCCCTCTCTCTCATCCAACGTCCCCACAGCTATCCCGCCCGCCGACCATGGGCATCCGTTCTTTACTCCTCCCTTCGACGCTGGTCGTCCTCATCGCCACCTCTTGCTTGGCGGACTCAGCCTGGAATGGCCATCTCCTCCCCGGCTCGACTACGAAGGCTAGATTCTCGCCATACTATGTTCCCCCTGGTGCCAAAAGCTACGACTCGTCATCACCCCTATTACACTACTCAGGAGGCTGGACAGAGTCGTTCTCCCCTGCCTATGTTCAGAAGAGTATCCGGGCGAGCTCAGAACCTGGCGCTGCGATGACCTTCACCTTCACTGGCACGGGTGTGGAGTGGTTCGGAAATCAGGACAAGAAGCATGGCATGGCGAAGGTCTACATCGATGGTCAACTCACTCAGGAGGTTGATGCCTACAACGAAGCGTCGATGAAACAACAGCGCATATTCTGGGCCTTCGGCCTGCCGCAGGGCAAGCACACCCTCAAGATTTTGAACGCCGGGGCGAGCCATTCCTCAGCCAGCGGGATCTCAATCGACATCGATGCCCTCGTCGTGACGCTAGGCACGTCTGCGGAGCAACAAGATCCCTTACAGCAGAACATGGCCACTTCTTCTCAGAACCTACCTTCGTATCCGCCCCTCCTAGACTTGTCATCTAAATTTCCTCAGGAGTCTCAGTGGACGCTAGTGCAGAACGGCTCTACTGGGGTGCATGCTATGCAGCTGGCGATTATCTCGGAGACGCACGCGCTCGTCGTGGACAAGGTCGAGCATAATCCGCTTACCGTCTCTGGACATCCTGCCTGGGCGGCTCTGTACAACTTGAAGACACATGCCCTGAAGCCCCTCTCTATGCAGTCGAATTCTTTCTGCGCTGGCGGCACCTTCCTGAGCAATGGTACTCTCATAAACGTCGGCGGGAACCCTGTGGTGGAGGACCGTACTGCCTCTGCTGACTTTGGCGATGTCGATGGACTACAGGCTATCCGTATCTTCGAGCCTTGCGAGTCTGACAACGTGGGCGGTTGCAACATTTATGAGAACCACGACAGGATTCGCATGGCCAGCCCGCGCTGGTACAACACCGTCCTTCGTGTCTCAGACGGCAGTGCCATGATCATCGGGGGTTCTCTCAAGGGCGGCTGGATCAATAATGTCACGACGAACAACCCCACCGTCGAATATTTCCCTCCCAAAAACATCCACGACTCCAACGGTCTTCCTATCCATCTCCCTTTCCTCGTCGACACATTGAACTCCAACCTCTTCCCGATCGCGTTTTCGCTCCCCGACGGTTCTGTATTCATGGCTGCTAACCGCGATGCGATGATCTACGACTGGAAGACCAACACCGAGCGAAGGTTACCGCAGATCCCGAACGGCGTGCGCGTCACGTATCCTATGACTGGAACTGGCCTACTCTTGCCTCTGTCCCCAGAGAACAACTACACCCCCGAGATCCTTCTGTGCGGCGGCTCCACTATCGATGACACCAAGCCAGGCTACGAGATCTCCTCGCAGGACCCAGCGTCCTCACAGTGCTCTCGGATGGTGCTCACTGACGCTGGAATCGCTGCTGGATGGCAGGTCGAGCAGATGCCCCAGGCGCGGACGATGCCTGACGCTGTCCTACTGCCCACTGGCGAAGTTCTCATCGTCAACGGCGCGGGCTCTGGCATCTCCGGTTACGGGAACGTCGTGAACCAAGTCGGCGCATCTAACGCCGACAACCCCGTCCTCACTCCCGTCCTCTACAGCCCCTCTGGTCCTACCGGGCAGCGTTTCTCTACAGGCGGAATGCCTACGAGCGACATTCCGCGGTTGTACCACTCGGTCGCGACGCTCACTCCGCAGGGAGATATCATGATCGCGGGCAGCAATCCGAACTTGGACCGGAGTGAGCTTAAGTATGGGACGGAGTACCGCGTCGAATGGTTGGGTCCCGCATACATGAAGCAGGAGCGGCCGCAGATTCTTGGCGGTGTTCCGAAGCTGTTTGGGTTTGGCGAGACGGCGCAGCTGAGGATACTCATGCCCGTGACCTCCCATCAGGGCGCGAGCATCAAGGGTGAGCGCTGAGTATCTCCACTTTATCGTCTAGGCGCTGACATGTCGGGGTGTACAGTTGCGCTGATGGATTTGGGTTACGTGACGCATGCCGTGCACGCAAACTCCCGCCTGGTCTACCTGACCTCATCGGTGTCGAGCGATCAACAGACGTTGACCATCACCGCCCCGCCGAATGGCAATATCTATCCGCCAGGCCCGGGCTTCATCTACGTCGTCGTTGACGGTGTGCCGAGCGTAGGGGTGAAGGTTCTGGTTGGAGATGGGAAGGGTCCCGTTGTTGACGCAGCGGCCCAGCAAAAGTAAGCCCTTCGTTCTTTTCAGTATATGCAAACGTTGACGAGCGAATCGCTGTAGTGTCCTGAAGCATACGGACGTGGACCAATACGAGGAGACGAAGGGACATCCTTCGGAAGATGGTTCAGAATGAGTGCCTCGAGTTTGATGATGCTTGTGGACGCTATTGACTTTGAACAATTTCTAACTATCACCTATCGTTTTGTCATGTTAGTTATCGCTTTGCACACAAGTCTATGTTTGCGATTGAATTCTTTACACCACATCCTCCAGCGCGCCAGCTCCTCCAGTAACGCGCACCGAACCCGTTAACGTTGGATGGTATGGAACGAGCGAATCGGAGCACACTTACGATTCGGACTGGGCGCGTAACCTGGCCGTTCGGTCTTTGCGGGGAGGTTGACGATACGAAGTCTCCCCGACGTCGCCGTAGATCGATCGAGGGCTTCGGATGTCAGCCTCCTCCCAGCCTCCTGCCGCGAGCTGGGAATAAATACCGCGTCAGGGCGTGCTCTTTCCCCATTCCCGCCTTGTCCCTTCCCCCCATCACCACCCGTATGCGCCACCACGCCGACAGGCAGGGGCCTACAAGACACGGCTCTCACGATGGCGTTCGCGGTGACCACGCCGATGGGCCGGCCCGCGTCAAGAGTCGTCATCGCCCTCAAGCCGACGGCGATGCACCCTTGCCCATGGCATGCTACTGAAGGTGGGACGGTGAGTGTTTCTTTCCCAAGGGAGGGACTTCGGTCCTGGCGCATACCTTTTCGTGGTCCTTGGGATAAGTACCTGCTCGTGCGCCGTTCCCTTGGGGAGGCGTACGGGCGGGGAAACCAAAATGCGTTTTCTGTTGGCGTCGTTCGTGGCTTCGGTTCGCGGGTTGTGTGTGTCTTCGTACGATGCGCTCACTTGGTCTCGTTTGTCTCCCGATACATTAATGAATATCATGCGCGTTTGCACCCCGTCGATTTCTCACTCGTGATCATCTCTGGATTCAATATCCAGCTGCTCGTGCGCTGCAACTGTGCTGCACCGCGAACGCGATGGTGGAAGGGCAAAAAGGAGCCACTCGTAGTCGTTTACCCAACTACCACCGACGGGGATCGAACCCGCAACCCCCACCTTAGGAAGGTGATGCGCTACCATTGCGCCACGATGGCTTGATTGTTGCCGGTATCAACACAGATATAATCTGTTCTCGCGTATGAGAGGCTAAAACGCGATCACACACGCGACGCGACAAGACGCGTTCCACAGGCGCCAGTCAGGCCTAAGATCAACTTCTCGATTCTAACCACGACGACCACATCCCTCGACCTCCCGACCCGTACTGCTTCCTCCGTCTACTCTGCGTCGTGGAGCGGCTTCGTGCGGCCTATCGTTTGTGAAACATGGCAGCAGTTATCACGACAAATGCTCTCACCATTCTCGAGAACTCTACCCTCAAACACCCACCCACCACCGCCGGCCCGACAAGCCACTTGCCTCCGCCATCGAGCGGTGTCGTCTGGAGTGCGGAGAGCGGAACCATCTTTCTGGCATCCGCGGATGGAAGTCTAGCTCGGTATCATGTTGCCTCGGGAACCTCAGAAGACATCGCGCTTTCTGCTCGATCATCTACCGGACCCATCACTTCGCTACTGTGCAAGGACCGAGGGAGCACCGTCATTTATGGCCAAGGACAAGAGGTTGTGGTCCTTTCCACGGTGACTGGGAAACCTGCCAATACCTTCAATACTCACAAGGCTCCAATCACTTCTCTGTCGCTGTCCAATGACGCCTCTTTGCTTGCGTCCACCTCCGCCCGCGGCATCCATGTTCACAACCTCACATTAGCCTCGCATACCATTCTGCGCGGGATCCCAAGCGGGAGCGACAGCATCACTACCTGTGCATTCCACCCGCACCTACGAACGCGCCTCCTCGTCGGCCTAGGCTCGCAGCTGCTTGTGTACGACACTACCCGACCTTCAGGGCCCGCGAAGACCATCGACATTGACAAGGACAAGAAGAACCTGGGTCATATCGTAGCTGTCTCTTGCAGTCCCTTCAGCAAGACGCTGGTAGCGGTTGCTTGCAGTGGCGGTACCGTCGCACTCGTCGATCTTGAGAAGGAGAAGGGGTACGTCGTTAATGGAGTTCATTGCCGGCCCTGTGGCTCACCCGTTGGTTTACTATAGGTTGTTCAGGATGGTCGCCATGCCTGCGCCTGTTACCTGTCTATCGTTTTCCGCGGAGGGTGCGGCTGTATACGCCGGGACGGAGAACGGCAAGTTCCTGCTTCTCGATCTCCGCGCTTTGGACAAGCCTCCAAAGTCGATCACTGTGAGCGATAACGGGGACCAAGTGGTTGCCATTAGTGTTCAGGTATGTGCGACGTCGATGTCGGCGGCTCAAATATTAACGATACGCTCTGCAGAAGAAGCTCAAGCCAGGCGAGGCCCAGACCAAGACTGCAACGACGACTGCAACTGCCACTTCAAAGCCGCTAGTCCAACGCGACGTTAACAAAGCAACGGCGACCGCCCGTTCTTCTGGTGTCGTCGATGCGACCAAGAAGCCACTCGACAAGGACGCTGGTAAGACACTGCCCAAACCCACCAGACCGAGAGCGGCTTCTGGAACTACCAGTGCAGGAACCACGACACCTCGACGCGCTCCGGTCCGCAGCACGACAACTGGAACTCTCGCCGCGGCGCCTGCAGGAAGGATCGCGTCGGGCAGTCGACCTGCCGTTCGTGCTGGACCAAAGTCGCCTGTCACGTCCCGTCCTTCGGCTTCCGAAGCACCATCGCGAGCTTTCTCGCCACCGAAGTCGCCTGTCAATCAAGCAGGCAGCAAGGACGAGAACGCAGACTCCGGAGATGTATCAGGTTCGTTATGTAGTTCTCATGGCATTTGCCTAGGTACTCATTCAAGCTATAGTTCAGATTGAGAACTTGCTGGCGCTGCCTCGGGCGAAGGAACCTGTTGTCCCCGCCATCATCGAGGAGGCGGCATCGGCCGCCGTGCCCCCAAGAGCGTCCTCTGCACTCTCCCGTGCTTCGTCTCGCTCCCAGATGAGAGAAGGGATGAAGGCACGCGCACGAAATGTTGCCGAGTCGATATCCCGTGCGCCGACTAGCGAGTCTATCTCAACCGCGGCCCCGCGCATGCGCTCCGGGTCGACGACGAGTGTTGCTAGCCGCGCGAGCAAAACCTCCGTGAGGTCAGCTGTTGGGAGGACCTCGGCTAGTCCTATACGCACACAGTCTCGACGCGTTTCGGGCTCCACGATCTCGCGGTCCCAGACGCCGAGCCCGGACCTCCCTGACATTGACGACGCCGGGCCCGTCACGCCTATTCCCGCGTACAAGATGAAGGGCAAGGAGCGTGCGGCTCCCGCTGCCGGGGTGCTTGGCCTCGGCACTCCGGAGGTGGACGAGTGGGTCAAGGCGGGCGAGGGCAACGATATGCGGAAGGAAGGACGACGCGTCGGCTTCGCCAGCCAGAGCGACGACGAAGCAGAGGAAGACGACGACGATGGGGCACGCTCTCGAGCGAGCGAAAGCGAAGACGACGCAGACTACCAGCAGGCCGCCCCGTCCGCACGCCCACCGCCCGAACTCGCGATGCAGGTCTCCCCCCGACGCTCCTTCCCCGGACCCACACACCCAGGCGCAAACGCCACGCGCTGGGCGCCCGTGCCCTCCCCGCTGCGCAACCCCGCGCCCGCGAGCCCGCAGGCGCGCGCGGCACAGGACATGCTGCAGGCGCTCCTGCGGGACGCGCTGCACGACTTCCGCGCGGAGACGAAGCAGGAGATCACGGGGCTGCACCTGGACTTGATCCGTATGGGCGGGAGCTGGAGGCGGGAGATGCAGGAGGCGGTGGGCGGGCTGGGCGAGGAGCTGAGGGCGCTGAGGGAGGAGAACCAGAGGTTGCGGGAGGAGAATGAGAGGCTGCGGAGGGGGTATTGAGCGCGGGGGAGCAGGAAGGAGAGGGTAGGAGGATGGGATGGCAGCGGTGCATTGAAGGACGCTTTTTGATTGTGTTATACCTCCGTTTACCATGTTCCCTGTATGTTTATGAGTATGCTTCTCCACCTTTTGAAAGCAAGAGGATAGGGCCGTAGAAAGCCTTCGCAGACTGTATTTCGTTGTGCCGTTACACCGTCTGATAAAGGTTAACACCTCTTACTGAAGTACCCTCACTCTGAAGTAGTTTCGACTGTAATGCAATATGTTCGTGGTATTGTACAAAGTGTACAGAGACGTACTATAGCACTAGGTATACATGGGCGATCCGGATCCGTAGTCCGTGATAATCGACAGTAACGAGCGAGATGGCCAGTCCACGAGAAGGGGTATTATGCCAAAGTTTATACTATCCGAAAGCAATGTAGAGGAGAGTTCGAAACGCACCACCGAGGACCCAGAACAAACAATCCCGAGATCGCCGTCTCGAGCTGCTAGCTGCGGTCACCAAGACCGCCCCGACAGAACCGATGCGCTCTCTGAGCGCGGCGACTCCTCCCCGAAGTCCTCCACAACGAGCGCAGTGCTCCCGATACGGTCCACAAAGAGGCCGTAGTAGCCGACATACAGCCCGCGCTCCGCAAGCGCCTCATAGTGGCGCGCATGCTCGCGCAGGTCCTCCGCGCCCTCCTCGTCGACTGCGATCTTGACGAGCACCGCGCGCAGGGCGACGCGGTCCGCGGGCGGCTCGAACGCGAGCATGCCGCCCCAGACGATGTGTGTGGACTCGCGCCGGACGTGGCGCGTGACAAGGACCGCGGCGTCGGCGGTGAGTGTCATGGCGGCCGTCGCGAGGGAGGCGGTGGTGCTCGAGCGCGAGAGGGCGGGCGGCCAGGGGTCGCGGGCGCGGTCGAGGTGGGATTTTGACATGGGAGGGGCGCGGTCGTGTGTGGTGGTGCGCTTGAAGCGGCTGTGGTTGCGCGAGCGGAGGGGCCCGACGTCGAAGGCGAGGTGCAGCTCATTGGGCTTCATCTAAGTAGAAGGTGAGCCACTGTGGTGTGCTCTGGCGCAGGCATTGGACGTACGATGAAGTCCGCTGAGGAGAGCTCCTGTGCGGCGATTGTGAGCTCGTTCGCGCCCACAGCATCCCACTTGAGCTTGCAGCCCGGGTGAGGAGGGGAATGGCGGAGGGCGCTGAGGGAGAGCATGATGGAATCCGAGGGCCCACTTGCGGATGTGTTAGGGGGCAAGATGCAGAGAGGGGTATATAAGACGGCGGAACTAAGTTGGAGGCGTGGTGAGCACAGGCTGCGGGGCAATTGAAAGCAATGCATGTTGCGGAGAGTGCTGCCCGCTATGTCATAGCACGAGGCCACACCCGAGCCCCTCTGCTAGCGTGCGGCACAGCCACCATACCAGGGGCGATCGCAGCAGCTGCAGTGTAGCGCTGCCGGGTCCGTAGTCCAGCTGCATACATGCAGTTTTGGTCGTGCTTGAGACTTCAGTGAACGCAATGTTGCAATAGCAAGAAGTCTAGGCACTCGTTGTGGCTCGCGGGGCGTCCTCGGAGTGTGTTCAAAACCCAGGCATGGTCGCCCGGATGGAGGGCAATGAACGGCTGCCGGCGACCACTTGAATCTATCATAGAGCTGTGCATGCTCTCGTCTGAGGCCTGTTGAAATTGACTGATCAACGGTTGAAGATAGGTTATGTCGATACTTGCGGACGCCGTTTAACGCACGAAGGTGGGTTACTTGAATTTGGCGGCATCATCGCCCAACCCGGGGAAGTCCCTATATTTTCAAGCCCGAGTCGTGTGTCATCTCGATCTCTTCTCAGGTAAGCCGCAAGCTGTTCTGACACAGACGAGCGGTCATTGATATGACAGATTATATGCAGGCGTCGCGGGGTAAGATCCAAAAAACGATGATGGTGGTCGAGAGCAACGTGCTCGTGGAAAACGCGTCGCGTGACGTCGCGCGCGTCACATCACGCGAGCGCGAGCTACGGGCGCTTGTCTGTGTCGCGTCTTGTCCTCGTCTCTCATACTCTGACCCCTGGGCAGTGGCCGGTGGACGAGCCAGATTGTTCCTCCCATTCTCACTCTACTGCTCAATTCCTCTATCCTGCTGAGCGCCGAACGCGTCGACTCGGAGCTGTCTTCTGTGACTCGAACATGGTTCTGGGCTCTCCTTCGGCTTCTCTAGCAAACAAACTGGTCTTTTGGTCTCCAGAGGATTCTTCTGCGGCAGATGGTGATTTTGGCGGGAATGATACCACCGCTGGGCCCAGCACAGAGACAGAAGCCAGCACGCACGATGGGGTCTCTATGTATGTTAAGGTGTTCGAAGGTACGCATATTCTCAGCCACAGTAGACCATATCGCGTGTATATCCATTAACCGCTCGTATGGCATGCAGAAATGCTCAAGGAAGTACTTCTGGGAGAAGGAAAGCTGTTTGTCCAGGAAGAATTGGACTGCTTCATGAAGTATCACAGGCTACCGTGTATGTCCTCTCTGCGCTCCTCCGATTTCGACATGCCAGGGCTCGAATTTACGTACGCACCCCAGATGCCGCCAAATATCTCTTCTGTCGCCTGTGTCTGCGCAAGAAGGACAAGTGGCATCGTCTTAGCGCGCTCAAGTACCAGTCAGAGCTTGGCAACGGCATCCGAGATGCGATGGACATCTTGTGTGGCCATCCTCCGTCTGAGGAGGAGGATGTGAAGCCGGCCGTTCAGAATATGGAGATCGTCATCCCAGAAATGGAGCCCAACTTCCGGTTTGACGCGCACCCGCAGGTCAAGCCTGACCCGGACGCCGACCCGTCGACCCGTTCGGAACCCGTGCCTGAAGCGAAGCCCGAAGTGAAGGAAGTCAAGCCCCAGGTGAAGGAAGTCAAGCCCCAGGTGAAGCCGGAAGTGAAGCCACAGGCGAAGCCTAGCTCCCCGAAGTCACCCAAATACCCTATCATCAAGGTGGAGGAGCGCGACGTGATTGACCTGACCTTTGACGACGAAGAGGAAGAGGCTCCAAAAGCCGGTCCTTCTCGCAGCCCCGAGTACGAGCCTGAGCTTCCTCCTCCGACCTCGACGCCCAGATCGCCAGACTTCTCTGTGTTCGCCGATGACGAGGAGCAGACCACACCTCTGGAGCTGCTTGATTGCCTTAACACGGACGAGCTTGCAGACATCGCCAAGCAGCTCAAGATCAAGCTCAGGTCCAAGAAGGTAAATGCGCTAGCTATATATATTATATTCACCAGCCTGACGAGATACATCATAGCGAGACGTCCTCATTGAGAGCATCCTACGCTCGTCTTCGACTCAAGGCACCCTCGCGTTCCCAGTGGTGGGATCGCGGAAGGGCAAAGGCAAAGACATGGTCCAGAGCACACTGCCCTTTGGCTCTTCCAAGGGCAAGAAACTACAGCAGGGCAAATTGCCCTTCAAGCCCCTCGACCCCTACAAGACGCAACAAGACCGCGTACGAATAATGGTCATGAACAAACTCGGTACGTCCCGCCTATGCACCCATCCTAACCCGGACACATACAAGTTATTCATGGATTTTTGGCCCACGTAGAGAAATGCATCCGCCTGAACGCCGACGTCGTCGCGCTCTTCCGCCGCGCGAACCTCGTCTACTTCCGGAGCACGCAGCACACCCCCGAGCTGCTCACGCCCGCCGTCCTCGCGCGCGCGAAGAAGTGGAAGTTCGCCGAGTACGTGTATGCGCGCACGCCCGACATCTGGCGCACGCGTGCGGAGCTGCTCGCGTACGAGGATGCCCTTGCGGTCGAGGCGGAGGTCGACGACCTGCTCGACAACGTCTACGGCCCCGGGGCGCGCGGACGGGACAGGTCGACGATGAGCCGCACGCCGGGGCCGGGACGAACGAAGACGCCCGTCACACCGCGCAAGGGGACGAGTGTGGTCGCGAACACTCCGAAGGGCGGGAAAGCGGTCGTGCAGGAAGACGAGGAAAGCACGAGGGTGAAGAACGCTCGCTTGGTGAAGGATATTCTCGAGTCGCACTACCCCAGGTGGCAGGCGCTCGTCGAGACGAAGCCCGAAGGAGACGACGACGGCCGAAGAAACGCCCTCCAGCGGTTTGAGTGCGGTATGAGCTCTCGTCGTTTTAGAACATATACGGGCGCTTAACAGTACATTAGGGCACATCCTCACGCGCGTCGTATGCAAAGGCGCGCACGCGCTCGGGATCCTGCACGAGTACGAGCAGGAGCTCGCGGTGCTCGACGCGCTCCTCGCGCAGAAGCGCTGGCGGCGCGGCCGGCGGGGGCGCTGGCACGACCGGCGGGCGCTGCTGCTCATGAAGCACCTGCGGGACGCGACGGAGGACAACGACGAGCAGCTGCGCGTCGAGAAGGCCGCGCTCACAGGTGTGATAGCGGCGCTCGAGGACCAGGACACGCACATTGTGTTCCGGCCGATGCTCGAGCGGCGGCTGACGCGCTGCGAGCGGTGGGTGGACGTGCCGCTCGGGGAGCGGCACCAGTGCGAGGGGAAGCAGAAGAAGGCGGACCCGGTGCATGTGGGGGGCGTGAGGCTGGACCGGCGGCTGCAGCTGGATGAGGCGGGGTGTGTGGTGAACGTGCCGACGACGGGCGGGAAGGGGAAGGAGGTGGATGTGAAGGCGAGGGCGACGCTTTTGCGGTTCCTTGGGGCGGAGGATACCCCGCGGAAGCCAGGGGCGGATGTAAGCCTATCTTTTCAGTGCCTGCTCGTGACCGTGAAATCTGACTTGAGCACGCAGGTCAAGCCCGAGAAGACCACCGGCAAGTCGGTTTGGCGGGGTCGTGACGGTGAAGAGGTGTCCGTTGAAATGCTTGCTCTGCAGTATTACGAGGGCAAGGGCTTCAAAGGGTGCGCATATCCTACACTTGCCCGCTGTGAACTTATTCACCCTTTTTTGTGCTACTTAGCTTCCACTGCGAGGGCCGCATCGTGACCACGCTCTTCGGGCTGCTCTTCTGGGACATCATCTTTGCGCCTGTGCCCGGTGCCTTCGAGACGCGGTACCAGAGTGCACCGTTGGACCTCGCAGAGGACACGTTCTACTATGTGCGACAGCCTCTGGCGGATGCACGACTGGCAGAAATCAAGGATGGTCGCGCGGCGGAGATCCTGGAAGCAGCGTACGACACGCACCAGGGGAAGATGTGCGTTGGCGTGCGGTGGGACTTGTTTGAAAAGGACGACCTGTTGGGAATTGTGAAGGTGCGTTCGCTCCGCATATGTGTTCCGCGGGGACGAGCACGCGGCTGACGATGCGTCGTGCGGATGAGCAGGGTTTGAAGGCAAATGGACTGGCGATCATTTGCAAGTTGATGTGCGAGGAGTACGCTGCGCGGACCGGTGGTGTGCCAGACCTGATCTTGTGGCATCCAACGGATGGCACCACGAAGTTCGTGGAGGTGAAGGGCCCGAACGACTCGTTGCAAGAGAACCAGAAGGTGTGTCCATACCCCATGTCGTTTTCTTGCCAGGCCGGGTATTGAGCCAACGTCGTCGAAACAGGTGTGGATCGACGTGCTCTCGCGGGCGGGCGTGGAGGTCGAGCTCTGCCACGTCTACGAGGAGGGGTCTACGCCGACGAAGGTGAAGGAGGCTCTGATCAAGGCCGAGGCCAAGTCCAAGAAGACCCCCGCGAAGAGTCGGAAGACGCCGTTGAAACGGAAGGCGCCAGCGAAGAAGCGCCAGCGAGGGGAGGAAGAGGAGAGCCTGCCGCAATTCCTTGCCTCAGATGAGGAGCCCACGGATTACGACGAGCTAGACAAAACGTCAGAGGTCGAGGAAGCTTCGCCAGCGAAGAAGAAGCAGCGGAAGATCGTCGACGAACCAGAGTCGCCGACGGCGCAGAAGGTGGCGAGGCGGCAGAGTCAGACGGAGGACGTTGAGATGGCTTGAGACTACGTCGCTGGGGTTGCCGTGGTGTGTCTGTATACCTGCTAAGTTATCCGTATCTTATTCGCTCTAGGCCTCCATATGTTCTGCAGTCTGTTGTACCAAATGGGACAAGTTTGATTCGTCGACGCGTGTGTGGCTGCAGATCTTCTATACACGTGACCGCGTTGTGTGCAGCGAAGCGAAGATGACGTTGGACGCGTCTTGTGGGGCCCCATCGCTGCAAGAAGAGTACGAACGACCTGTTTTGCTCGGCCCCAGCACAGAGAACCGAACAACAACGATGCGCTCATGATGACTTCAGCGACAAACCTTGCGCTCACCGATGGCCTGCCGCTATAAAGACGCCAAGTCCCCGCCGTCGTACTCAACCCTACCTTCACGCTTTAAACTCCCCACCCCCACCACCCAGATACAATGGCCGCCGCCATCAGCCTCGACGTCGCCCACGAGATCAAGGTCGACCACAACAACGTCCGCGACCTCTTCCAGCGGTACACGGCCGCCTCCGACCCCGCCGACAAGACCGCGATCGCAAACACGCTCATCCGCGAGATGGCGATCCACGGCGACGCCGAGGAGGTCTCCGTCTACAACGAGTACAGCGCGCTCAGCCTCGGCTCCACCGCCGTGCACAACAAGGAGGAGCACGCGGAGATCAAGCGCCTCGTGTACGACGCGGACGCGGCGCGCGTGGACAGCCCCGGGTACGATGGGGTGCTCGAGAAGGCGGTTACGGCGTTCCTTACGCACGCGAAGCAGGAGGAGGACGAGCAGCTGCCGCTCATCGTCTCGAAGCTTACCCCAGAGGAGAATGATGTGAGTACTTTGAATATATGCTACACAAAAGGCAAAGAAGCTGACTATATGCGCGCGTAGAAACTTGCCCGCGCTTTCCTGAAGGCGAGGACGTCGGTTCCAACTCGTCCGCACCCCTGGGCTCCCCAGACCGGCGGGCTCGCCCAGAAGGCAGTTGGCCTACAGGGCGCCCTCCATGACAAAGTACGAGTATATACCGCCCCGTCTGGTATACCGGGCCTTGTGTTGACATGGCAGCTCTGCAGGTTGTCGAGACTCTCGAAGGTCGCAAGTTCGTCGACCTGCAATACCAACACCCTGCCGAATTTTAAACGAATAAGAGCATGATAATGGATACGATGCATAGTAGGAAGTGCATGGTGTAGGAATAACCACTGTTGTATCATTGGCCACGGAATTCCCGTCGCGTTGCAAAACATAAAGCTCTACGTGAGGGCCATGGGCCTGAACTTGTATAAAAAGACCGCTGGTCGCCATACGAGCAGCGTGACGACGAGTTTGGGCCGTTAGCTAGTGGAGACCGGAAGCGGTGACATTCCGACGGTGTACGTGTATTCGTAATATATTATGCGTTCCTATCATGAACGTAAGTACATGCAACAAGTGCAAATTCTTGTATGAAGTTATAGTACAGTGGATCCAGCGATTAGTAGGGATATGTATACTATTGCACACTTGCGGAGAAACCGATAATACAGAAGTGTGAACGAAGTGCAGACAAGAAAAGAGCCAGGATGGCGCCAGGGTGTAAGAGAACAAACCAATACCAGGGCTATGCTGGCGTTCAACGTTCAGCGGCGGATAGGCGTCAGGAACATCGACGCATCGTAGTACACATCGTGCGCAGGCACATAATGGTCCGTCTCCGCATCAGGATGCAGGTCGTAGTCTTCCTCCTCGTCCGGCATGTCGAGCATATGCCTATCGCGCGGCGGTCAGTCAAAACATTGGAGACCCAAGGACAAAGAAGGCTGCTCACTCTACTGCACAGTGGTCGAATATGTCCACGAGCGTCATCGCGGGCAGCACGCGGCAGCGCAGACAGCCCCACATCTTGTACACGGACGAGAAGTGCGGGATGAGCCGGACGGGCTCGATGTCGCGCACGCGGCGCGCGTCGCGCTTGCTCAGCCGCGTCAGCTTCGCCGTCTGCCCCGCGCGCATATGCTCGCACAGGTGCTCGACCTACAACGCAACAAATCATATGAGCGCAAGCCCAGCAAGACGCAGGACGGAGGGGCTCACCGCACGCTGCCACGCCATCACGCACGCCTGCCCGTCCTTGCTGCACAGCCCACACACCAGCCGCGCCTTCCCCGCCTCCATCTCCCACCCGTCCGTCCGCTTCGGATCGCGCCCGCACGCCCGCACGACCACCTCCGCAGCGGCCGCCGCCTGAGTATCAAATACGACAGCAGTCCCGCTGAGGTTCCACGGGACCTCCTCGAGCACGAGCGCGTACGCGTTGCGCAGGTCCGCGGCGTCCGTGGTGGGGTGCATGTCGACGGGCGGCGCGGCGTGCGCGCACGAGTGCGCGAGCACGCGCGGGTAGTCGAGCAGCGCGCCGCAGGTGGGGGAGGTGCAGCGGAACCAGGTGAGTGCGGAGCAGACGCGCTTCGCGATTTGTTCGGGGGTGACTTCGCGGTGGGCTGGAGGTGAGCAGGTGCACGAGGCGATGGTGGAAGAGGCGGTCGCGGTCGTGGCGACGTCGGTTCTAGGGACAGAGGGCCCCGCCTCCCCCTCTGTCGGTTCCGTACCAGTAGGTGCAGCTGCAGGGGCAGGAGTAGAGGCGGCGTCAGAGGAGCCCGCAGACGGCTGCGTAGCACTCTCGATCATATCATACAGCTTCAGCGCCATATTCTTGCGCCACTCGCGCACGGTGGCCGCAAGGATCGCCTCGAGCTGCGCCGGGGGCATCTCGAGCGGCTGGAAGAACGCGTCGCGCGGCGCGCCCATGAGCACGCGGAAGCCGGGGGTGTGGTACGAGAAGTCCGCGATCGAGGGCAGGGCCTCCCAGAGCGGGCGGCGCGCCATGAAGCGCACGACGGTGTCGCGCACGACGGAGAGGCGGTTGATGTAGTGTGCGCAGCGTTCGCGCATGAGGCGTTCTGTGCGGGCGTCTTCGGCGAAGGCGACCATGGGCGCGCGGATGTTGTTCCAGACTGTGCCAAGTCAAGCTATGTAGGGTATGAGAGAATGGGGGAGGGGACAACGTACTGCGGTCGGTGAGCTCTTTGGGCTGCTTGACTAATGGGTGCTCGATGAACTGGTCGATGCGCTTATATGTCATCCATTTGAGGTCTTCGGCGAAGCCAAGGTCGCAAAGTCGCTCGGTGATTCTGCTCTTCAGATGAGCATACATGCCACAAGGAATGAGACTGGGCACGTACTGCTTACGACGGCGTATCCGTAGGTCCATAAGGTCCGTGGAACGCTTGTCATTCTGCCTAATCTGCCACTCGGTGAACTTGAGCGCGCTCTGCAAAGCACAGATGATTCAGCTACTGTTATAAAGCAACCTGGGTACAGATGCGTACGTCTTTGAGGAGCTTAACGGCGAGCGCTTGCTCGTCCTCGAGCTGTTTCAATTGAGCTTCGTCGCCTTCGCACTCTTTGATGCGTGCAACTAGCTCGTCGGCCCTGAACTTCGGCACAAGCAGTTCTACTCGGCATGTAAGACGGCGTCATACTTATGGCAGTGAATGAATGGCTGACTGTTATTTAGGTACTCCATGGGCAGCATAGAAGACACCTTGATGAGCTGCTGCGGTCCGCGTGCCATATGCTCGGACGCTGCGACAAGTATGTCGAAAAGAGGCACGAAGCTAACGGATCATGAGGTCGCATGTGGCTTCCTGGGAGGATAATGCTTACTGCTCTTTAAGACACTGTTTGCACGCCCGGGAGCGACATGTCCAGAGGGTCGTCATAACTCTGGCCTTAACGCAAAACTAGTTGAGAGTGTGTCAGCATTCATGCTCCTCGCACAATCGGGACAGGGCTATGTGATGCTATACAATGGGCTGCCACGGCGTCTCCAGGGACGCTCACAAAATATAGTGCCTGGGGAGTAGCACAGAAGCGACGTACATGACAATGATGATCGAACAAAAGGTTGGCGAATCCGGGCTCTGTGAGGTCTGGCGGACAGTCAGGAAGATCCTCGACGCTGCTAAGAGCGCTCCGCCAGATGGTCACGGCAGAACGGCGCATAAGAACCTCGCGGAGCGCCTTCGTCGTGCGCGCCAAGTGCAAGAGGTCAAGCGGATGCAGGTGACTAAAAATCTGTGAAACGTAGAGTTAATCAACACTCTGCCCGCTGCGGCAACTACGCGCTCACCTCGTAGAGTATGTCGAGAGGCATGTCTACAAGCTTGCTCAGGATACGCCTCCTGCCTTTCGGACCGAGAGCTTTAGAAGGGGTCTTCTGTGGCCCACCGAGGTCCGCAGGTGCACTCTTCCGAGGGCGTTTAGCTGGCGGTTTACGCTCCCTTGGAGTAGCCGACGTCGCCGAGTGCTCATCCTCATCCTCGGGGTCCGCGTAGGTGGGTGTAGCCTTGGTCTGAAGCCGAGACGAGCGACGGAGCGAGAGCGTCGAAGGTGCAGCACTCATCGTTGTGTGGGGGAGATGGTTGTAGGGAACAAGGAGGGGTGCAGCCGGTGCTAGGCACTACAAGGCAGCAGCCGGCGCCGCGACGGTAGCGCCACGAGAGAAGGCGACGAGGCGGTTGCTGCGGCCGATCGCGGTCACGTCCCGACACAGCGCTTGCTTTCCCCTCCGACTCCGAGTCCGACGCGTCTTGCCCGGCCTTGTCTTCTCCCACCATCAGCCTCTCCTCGAGCCCAGACATGGCTTTCTTGCAAGTGTTTCCAACCATGCTTCATATGCTTCCCCGGGGCGTTTCAGCTCCTGGCGTGCCGCGATAAGTGGCTATTCGAGATACAACAATTACCAGCGACCAGTGCTGCCGGGGAATGGAGAACGACCTCAGCGGACAGTGGACAAGCGAAGACAATCAGGAGCGAAGTTTCGCCGTAGGGATTTGAGATAAGAGTCCCTTTGCTTCATCCTTCGCGTCCCTTTGTTTGCCTTTGATCGTCATTGTCTCGAACTGGCGTCTCTTACGGCCTCTCTACTGCTTAGCTGCCTCACACAAATACCAAACCGTCCAAATCTCTCGGGCCCAACATCGCAAAACCCGTAAAGTTGGTCTACACGGCCGGGCATTTGAATCATGTCCCTCTATCTGTCCGAGACCTCTTTCAGAGCTGAACACGCTCCAATCTCTGTATACCCCTCAGCGAGGTGTGCCACCACTTCTATGACTGGTAGACCAGCCCAATGTTGGCGAGTATTGTGGCCGATTTTGTGGATGAACGCGGTCACGTTGCTTCGTATGTGCATTGGGCGCTCACGACGCGTCGCGTACTGCATGCAAGTACCCTCAGCTCGAGTCACGTAAAGGACACGTATATTTCTTTCATGCCCAGCTACTGAAGTACTCCGCCAGCCGTCCTCGAACGAACGAATCAAAACTGGCTTGCAATTCCGACTGGGCGGCAGGACTGTGTTCGGTGTCGATCTCGCTCCCCACGAGTCTGCCGCAGAGGCTGACGGTCTAGAGGGCCTATGGTGTCTGGAAAAGTCAACCACGGGGGCTAAACAATGTCAGCCGCCTCCGCTCGCTCGACGTTTAAGAAGCGGGGGAGGGCGCGTTCTCGAGCTCCCCATTCTCTTTCCCGTCCCCTTCCTTTCCCCGTCTCGTCCCATCCCTGTCTGCGCCCCCTCCCGTCCGTGTCCTCCCCGCCTGTATTCTACCCGCTTGTATCCTGTTCCGGTCTGGTTCTCCTCAAGGTTCTGCAAGGTGGGTCGCGGTATGTCTTTCTCTTGTCTGGTTCTCCTCTAGGTTCAAGACTCAAGGCTCAAGGCTCAAGGCTCAAGGCTCAAGGCTCAAGAACGTTCAAGGCTCAAGGTTCGACGTCCAAGCTCTCAAGATTCAAGGTAGGTCACGGTATGTCTTTCTCTTCCCCGTCTCGTTCTCCTCTAGGTTCAAGGTTCAAGACTCAAGACCGAAGACTCAAGATTCGACTCAAGGTTCAAGCTTTCAACGTTCAAGGTAGGTCACGGTAAGTCTTTCGTTCTATCCAAGGTAGGTCTTCTTTCTCTTTCTTTCCCCCGCGTTTCGCCCCATCCCCGTCTGCGCCCCCTCCCGTCCGTGTCCTCCCCTCCTGTATTCTACCCTCTTGTATCCTGTTCCGGTCTTGCAACGGTAGGTCTTTTCTTCCCCGAGGGAGGGACTTCGGTCCTGACGCATACCTTTTCGTGGTCCTCGGGATAAGTACTCGCCTGCGCGCCGCTCCCGATGGGGCGCCGCGCATGAGGGGAAACCAAAATGCGTTTTCTATTCTATCATTGTTTGGTCGAGCTAACTCTAGGCAGGATAAAGTATGCGCGGCACTATCCCGGGAGTGGAAGGTCCACATGGCATAGAATCTATAGCGGTCGTTATTCGTGTTTATATCATGTGCGACATTCACTTTGTACGACAAATACCTTCTGCTGGAAATGTATCACTTCACTCTATCATTTGATTATGCTTGCCCATCCTGAGGTGGTGGACGGATGTTGTGTGCACTCGGGAGAAGTAGCATGACGATGTCAATCCATACGATGAAAGAGATAATGAAACATGCGTGAAATGATCTACAACCCAGCAACGTACACTACTCGCGACAAACCCTTACAGATGCACCGGCGCTCACATCGCCCTCTGGCGCATCCGTGCGCTGACGGTACGGAGACCGGCGTACACCTTGCCTGGGGGCGAGCCGAGGATGAGGGAGACGATAGCGTCCCGCGCAACCTTGATATTTTGGAATGATCCGAGGATGTGAATTTTCCTGTGCGCCCAATAACGGTAAGATGTTTGTCGTGCACGAGCGCGAGATTGTAGAAGACGTACGTGTCTGCTAGGACGATTCGTGTCCGGCTAGCGTTTTCGATGGTAAACTTGGTCTTGCCGTCCTGGCCGGCAATCCGACCTACGTCGCGGAAGCGTCAGCAAAGAGCACTGCATTCCTGTCGGACTTGCACACTTACCAATGGCGCGAGACAAGTGGTCACCGTGAAGGGTCTTCACATCCTTGATCTCAAAGGAGTCAAGATATAAGTCGTCCATACGGAGGAGCGCGATCGAGTCCTGGAGGAGGCTAAGCACAATCCGGTCAACCTGACCCTTCGAAGCAACTTACATTGACATCGAAACCCAACGCATATGCCTTGACGAAGTCAGCACCTTTCTGAATGGCCCCGATGTCCTTCGTGTGTTTTGATGTCTACACCAGAATGCTCAGCCCGATCTTCCCGGGCGCAGATAGTTCGCACTCACCCTAATCTCGACACTTTTCCGCTGCACGTTCATGCGTACTTGCAGGTGCAGCATCTCCGTCAGCGGGGAGAAGATGTTCACCCAGTCCTTCTTCAGCGGCGTCATGCGGTGAGGGGGTATAGGTATCCGGCGAGTCTCGGACTTCAGCGACGTCCTCTGCGCGGACGCCGGGAGGGCAGGGAAAGCGGGTGCGGCGGATTGTGAGGGGGCCGCTGCGTCTGTGTCTATCATGACATCGTCATCTCCCTCATCCCATCCCTCCTGCGCCGCCGCGGGCAGCTCGCCCGGCGCAGAGGAAGCCCCTTCCATATCATCGTCTTCCGCACCCTGTGCAGATGCCGTCCGCGCGGGCTTTTTCGCAATCTTGCGGCGATTTTTCTTGTGCTTGAGCTCCGATGTGCTCGGCTGTGTGTTCAGGACCACCATGGCGGCGATTGCGGTGGCTAGGGGCGGCGACGGAGGGGCAGAGAGATTTGAAGATGAGTGCAAGCTGCAGCGAGGTGCTACCGCCGGCGTCTACATGAAATTCTGCAGCTCGTTTCGGCAGCTGCCGATACCTGCAGGCTCGCTCTCCCCCACACCCACCCACAACCGTCTCCCGCCTTGCGTCCGCTCGTACACGACCCAGCACCTTTCCCCACAATATTTTGAGAAATACTTCAAGATGGCGAGTTCGTCGGCTGCGGGCTCAGCGCATACACTGGGCGAGAGCCGTGCACAAGGTACTTGGCAGGCTGTTTCAGCGCTCTCGCGTGCCGCACGCATCTGACCCGACCCCCGCACCTGCAGCACTGCAGGCGCTCTTGAACTCGCTCTCTCCGGGCGCACAGGCGGAACAAGACGCCAAATTGAATTCCGATCAGGTCCGGACAATATCGGACAAGTTGGGCGAGCTTCTAGGCGGGGACGCCGTGCCCGATGTAGGTCAGCGGAACGAGAAGGGTGAGGTATGTCCACGCGCCGTTACCAACGAGCAACTATGAACGTCTTCAATATGTAGCTGCTTAATGAGGAGGGTCTTCCGATTGTCGACATCGTCGAGCCCGTGCCCTCTAGCCAAGGTCCCGCGACCTCCGACCCCGCTCCCGCGAACAGTGAGACCGATGTTCTCCCTCTGTGGACGTTGTCTCCCGCGGAGATTGCGCGTCGACGCGCGGAACGGGATCGCGTACTCGATATACTCGAAGAAGAAGAGCGGGCCGAGCAGGAGAAGGAAGAGGCTGAAGAGCGCGAACGCTTCCAAACCGAGCTCGAGAAGCGCAAGGCGGCAGCGAAGGCGGAGATGGACGCGCTGAAGACGGCGAGGGAGATGCACAAGAAGATGGGCAAGGCGCTCCTCCAAAATCTGGCCGTGGCGCGAGAGCGGGACGAGCAGGAGAAGCAGAAGTTGGAACAGGCGGAACGCCAAGCGAGGGAGGAGCGTACGCGGCTGAAGCCCAAGAAGAGTGTCACCTTTGCGGACTTGCCCCCGGATCACGAGAACCAGCCCGCCAACAGCGTGCCTCCTCTGGATTGGGGAGATGTCGCGCCTGTTAAGCTGAACGCCGGCAAGACCACAGTCATCACCCGCGGCGACATGAACAAGCTTCCGATGAAGATGAACGTCGTTGAGCGTGTCCCTGGCATTGGCCGTGGTCCCAAATCTCCTCCGCCACCGACCTCCGCGCCGGCGGATTCCGACGACGAGTCCGACCCAGGATCGCCTGTTCCTGTCGATTCCGACGACGGAGAAATCATTCATTCGGACCTTTCCGACGGCGAGGATGGACCCGCGCCAGATCACGATGAGTCTGAGGAGAGTGGGTCAGAGCAGCCAGGAGATGATGAGCCAGCCGAATGGGACATCGAAGGTTATGACTTTGCTCAGCACCAACGCGAGATCGCTCTCGCTTACTACGAAAAGCGCGCCACCGTAGGGGCAGAGGCTCTGGCGGCGATGCGCAATCACGAACACGGCGAGGAAGAGAACGAGTGGGATCAACCAGTATGTGGTTGTGGTGATTGGGAAAGATATAACCTCGCTGATACCTTTACATCAGGTTGTACCGCTCGACGCAACTCTTTCCTCAGCTCCTCCCAAGCCGCCACAATCTCGTTTCAAGTCCTCTCTAACGTCCACTTCCTCACTACCATCTCATTCGTTGGGCGCATCTATCCTACCCTCCTCCCAGTCCTCGACGCTGAAGTCTGCCGTGCGGCTAGGGAAGCTCAAAAGCGGGAAGTTGACGGGGGGTGAAGATGGCGAAAGCGAAGATGAACTCGACCCGCAGGCCAAAGAGATGCTGGAGATGCTGACAAAAGGCGATGTCGTGAACGTTGGACCTATCCTTCCCTCAAACGGCTCTACGGTGCCCACGAGCTCCCCCTCATCCGCAACCCAGGCCCAGTCTAGTTCCGATGAGCCGCCGGTAGAAGCTACCGCTCCGCCGAAACCTAAAGTCTCCAAAGTATCACAGTTCAAGATGTCGCTGGGAACACAGACGCCTCCCCTGGTCCCTGCGTCACCAGGCTCCGGGGTGTCCACACCCACCAGCAACGTCGAGCGGTCATCCCCCAAGATGAGCTCTCGGAGTGGAACACCCATCGCTGTACCCACGAAAATATCGCGCATTCCTGGAGCATCGTGCGGAACCCCTCCGCCTCTCCCTCCACAAACGCCAGGCGTCATCGTCGACTCGCCCTCGTTCCCCGTCACCGCTGCATCGTTGAAGGCGGCTGGCAAGCGGCCCATGCAGATGCCCAGCATGATTGTCGATTCCCCGTCGTTCCCTGGTGGCAACCCTTCGTCATCTCCGCTCGTCCCATCAGGCCTAAGCGCGTTTGAATCAGCCATCCTTGAGTCGCCGTCATTCCAGAGCCCCACATCCACCCTTATCGGCACGCCCGTTAGCGCCACGCCCTCCCCGTCGCCCGCTCTGGCTCATTCGAGGGCGCCCGTTAGTAATTCGGTCCTCGAGCGGAAACCATCAGTCGCGGGCGCGGTGAGAGATTCCAGTCCGTCCACCCCTGTCCCTACCAGAGCGCATGGAGCCGGGAGGGAAAAGAGGGTGTCGAGGTTCGCCGCGGAGAGAATGTGAAGATGCCCTCCCTGTATATCTATTGTTGTGCAACTGTCCGCGTAAATGTATCGGTAGTGTCAGTACGTATGCAGACGGTGTATATTCTACTTGTATTTACAAGTCCCCACATCCCGGATGCTTCTGCCCGGAGAGGAGAAAGAAATTGAGTAGATGGTTTGTGACCGTGACGGTTGTGGGTTCACTTGCGCGCCTAAACTGACACGCTTGAGCGCTCGTGTCGATTGGCGTCGTCGCCGTGCGCATGACGGTGTTGCTCATGACTTGGAACCTCTCTCTCTCAACTGCTGCATGCGTAATCTACCACCAGTTGCCCTTGCAGTTCGCATCGGAATAGCACTTGCGACATGCACATTCTTTCAACCTGACGAGTACTACCAGTCGCTGGAAGTCGCCCATCATCTCGTGTTCGGCTACGGGCAGCTTACCTGGGAATGGCTTACGCCGAAGCCGATACGGAGCATCGTGTACCCCGCGCTGAATGTACACATATACTGGTTGCTCAAGGTGCTTAGCCTGGACGACACCGCTGCTTTGGTAGGTGCGTGTTCACGGAGGCTGCTCTGGTGACGGAGGACTTAGCACGCCACAGATCTGGGGCCCTAAGCTGCTGCACGGTGCGCTCGCGGCTTGCACAGATATTTGGCTTGCTCGCCTAACGAGAAGGACCATTGGGGAGAGGTACGTGGACGCAGCTGTGAGTACTCTCCATAACGCGTCACTGCTGTATGGCCGCTTGACTTTGGCGGCAGGTACTGTTCTCCTTGACATCGTTCTTTCATGGCCTGTCGCTCTCGCGTTCCATCTCAAACTCTGCGGAGACGTCTTTGACAACTATGGCTCTGAGCTTTTTCCCTTGGGATGTCAACATGCCTCGATGGAGGTAAGCAGGCGGGGTACGTACGAGCCGCAGCTAAATGCTCACGCCCACCCAGAACAGACCTTCAGAAAGCCTTGCTATGTGCTGCGTTGGCCTGTGCTATCAGGCCCACAAACGCAGTTGTATGGGTGTATATGTTCGGATGGCTATTGTGGACGTTGCGCAAACGGCGAAGTGAAGTCCTGACAGTCGTATTAAGCGCCTGTTCTACAGGGTGAGCGACCCACCCCAGTCTGCGTCCTTTCAAGACTAAAATCTCAATCAGGGTGTTGGTCCTCCTCGCACTCATTGGTCTGGATTCCCTCTACTACGGCCAGCTTACCTTGACACCAGTCAACTTCCTGCTCACGAACGCCTCCTCCGTGTCCTTGTTCTATGGGAGGAGTCCTTGGCACTACTACCTCTCGCAAGCGCTTCCTCTGCTTACCACCACAGCGCTTCCCTGGGTTCTTCATGGTGCCAATCTTGCAGCTAGATCACCGGCGCCGGCGCCCCTCAGGGTTCTCCTCGGACTCTTGGTGTGGACGATTTCGGTTTACTCCTTCGCAGGCCACAAAGAGTGGCGCTTCCTCCATCCCCTTCTCCCGTCCATGCATGTCCTTGCGGCGAAGTCGTTCGTGGACAGCCGCGGCGCCAAAGGCAGTTCGCGCTCTGGCCCACTATTGGCTCGTCGCGTCTTGATAACGCTTTCCGTGCCCGCCCTGATTTACGTGACTTTTTTCCATGAACGTGCCCAAGTTGCCGTCATGCATCACTTGCGACATCTCGCGCCCGAGACCTCGCGTTCCATCGGGTTCCTTATGCCGTGCCACTCAACACCATGGCAAGCGTACCTGCACCGGCCTGACCTAAACAATGACGGTGTGCTGTGGGCGCTGGGTTGCGAACCCCCTCTTCAGTACGTCTGCCATGTTTGGGGTGAGTGTGACAGGACATAATTCATTCGGCTTTACAGGGGTCAGGACGTCACCGAATATCAAGACCAAACAGACGTCTTCTATGCATCGCCACTGGAATACCTCGAAACCCGATTCCCCGACCGAGTAAACGCAACATTTCCGCCTTCCTTCCTACCCCGGTCGAAACCGGGCGTGGATGCAGGAGAAATTCACCCGTGGCGACACGAATGGCCGCAGAATCTAGTCTTCTTCGGGGCCCTGTTGGACGATCCTGACGTCAGAAAACTTCTTCTGGCCCTGGGCTATGAAGAGGAATGGAAGGCCGAGTACGGCTGGGAGGGAGACTCGCGCAGGCGAGGCGGGGTCCGGGTCTGGAGGTACCGCGATCATATATAGCCGCGTCTTTTGTTGCCGTAGAGATTGTTGGATGAAGTACTTCTATCGCCCTGTTTCATGCGAAGACGCGATGCACGCCGTGCAACGTTGCCCACCGTGCGCGCGGGCGGCGCTGTCTCGGCGCAGGCTCGAGTCTCGGAGCGCCCAGACGCCGATCCGAGTCGTTTTCCGACGAAGCACCTATCCGTAAACGCCAGCCTCGCGGTCTAATCATGCACAACTCCGGTGAGCTACTTATATCCTCCTCGTCGCTGAACAGCGCCAGCACACCGCGCCTCACACTCACATCATGGCTGCACCGTCTACACTGCGCCCCGCGCTCCCTGTAGAGCTCTGGCTCCAGATATTCCGCTTGGCCACTATCAGCCCCTCTACGTCCGGACTCTATGCCACGAAGTACCGCCCCTTCGAGCTTATAGACTTCCACGGATTCGACGAAGCCACGTCGACGAAGCTCGCGCTCGTTCTCGTATGCAAGCGGTGGCGGAACTGGGCCACTCCGCTGCTGTACGAGGACGTCCTGCTGCCGCGGCAGCAGAACCCGCTGAACCACATGCTCCGCTACGAGGACGACGATGATAACACCTCTATTCCCTCATACATTGTCCGCCGCGTCCACCTGCCGTACACCAGCACCACCATCACCACTCCGAAGCCAATCAAGCCAGTTCAGCTGCTCGCGCGGTGCCCAGCCGTCGAGGTCCTGGTGCGAACCGCGGACATGTTCGCGTCCGGCAACTACGAGTTCGACACGGACTGCCCCCCGCTCCCCGCGCTGAAGCGCCTCGACTGGTGGCACAACAACGAGGCCGCGCGCACGGGCGGCATCAACTCCCTCCCACACGTCCTCGGGCAGGCCCCGAACCTCGAGTACCTCTCCATCGGCGGCGAGCTCTGGCAGAGCTTCCTCTACGCGCCCCCGGTCGAGCTCCCGCGTCTCACGACGCTCCGCCTACGCCGCGTGAACGCGTTCTACGTGATGGCGCTCGCGCGCTGGACGTGCCCCGCGCTCTCGCACCTCGTCTTCGACGCGATGCCCGTCGCGGAGATCTTCGAGCCGCTGTGGGCCGCGTTCGGCGCACAGGCGCGCACAGTCGAGCTCGGGGTCAGCCTCAAGTTCTATGTGCACGACTTCCTCGCGCTCGTGCTCGCGGGATGTCCGCGCCTCGCAGAGCTGAACTACTACGTGCACTTCACGCACGCACCCGTGCCGTCGCGCGCACAGGAGGAGCTGCACACGGTCGGGCTGCACGCGCTCCCGAACTCGTTCTACGAAGCCGGTAGCGCCGACTTCTGGGCGCACCTGGGGCAGCACCTTGGGACGTACACGGAGGAGCTCTTCCCAGCGCTGCAGCGGGTGAAGTTGTATGGAGACTGGAGCGCTGTTCGGGAGGAAGAGGAGTTCGAACGACTCGTCGAGCCTCTGCGCAAGCGAGGCTGCACGATAGAGTGCGCGTAGACGGATTGGCTGGGTTCGGTATTCGCTATGGTCCCTTTAGACGATGTTCGTGTTGCGCATTGATAGACACTCTACCTACTATGGTACCTAATGTACGCGCATTGCTACGGAAAGTGTCTCGTGTAGGCTCGGACCGGTGTAAAACTATGATACAGGATAGACATAGACATATAGACAGCTCATATCACAGCAAGCAAACAATGTGAAGCGAGAGAAACGGGGTATCGGTTAAAGTTCAAGGTTCGAGGGTTCAGCCTGGCGGCAGCGGCGGCGCGTTCGCTGCCCTCGCGCGACGATCAGACGACCATCCTTGCCTCACAGACTCAGCCTGGGAACCACGCGGAGCCGCGCTGCGGGGCCGACCTCTGTGGCCCGTCGGCGCAGCGAACTGCTCCTCCGCCTGCCGCATCTGCTCTCGGAGCCGAGACAGGAGATACGACGACGGCGGAGGGGGTGGTAGCGGGAGCGTCGTCCCCGCATGTGGGTGTGGCTGCCAGGCAGGCATGGGATCAGGGCTAGGGCTGGCGCGCGTGGGCCTGCGCGGCGCAGGCGCAGTCATGCCGTGCCATGGCTGGTAGTCGGTGGGCGGCCGCGGGGGCGCTGCGCTGCCTGTGCCATGCATCGGAACGCTTATGCATCACAGGAGGCGGAGGCACTCACCGTAGGAGGGCTGCAGCACGTCGGCGGGGTGGCCGGCCGATCGGTGCCACGCCGGGATGTAGTCTGTCGCCACCATGGTGTCGGCGCGCGGACGCATGGGGGCGTGTGGCGCAGCTCGCCCTTGACATTGTTGGCAAAGAGGGTATCGGTCATCGGTATGCGCTCGAGGGGTGGTGCTCTGGTAGTATAGTTGTCCGCACCGTCGACAGCGGAGAGGATTTCCGGGGGTTCGTGGGCGAGCGAAACGTGGGAGGTCGTAGAGGGGAGTAGGAGCGTTGTGTACGGAGTACTCGGGTCGTTCAGGGTCCATCGAAAATATAAGACTGCTGCTAATGGGCTCGGCGTAGTACGCGTGCGAACTCTCAGAGCGGCTGGGGAATGATGGCTGTGTTTGTGGAACGGCGAGGGGATCAACGCCAGGTCCAGGAAAGGACGGCTCTCCTGGTCTCCTTCGTGACGACCTTGGCAGCGGGATCGGTATCGCTCTCGACGGACGACTGTTCATGGTGGGGAAGAGAATGACTTGGTGAAGAGGAAGAAACGTGGGGCAGGCAGCGCAGGTCGGCGCAGGCTTTTGTAGGGGCGCGGCGGGCTTCCACATACCGCTGTTAATTGGCCAGGGCCGCTCGGGCTCCTAATACGTCCCAAAGCGGCGGGACTAGATACCGATAGCGTTCAGCGCGGCCGGACCCGACTTGCACACAGATGGATCATAGCCTTGGATTGCCGATGTCCGACAGATTCTTGCGTACGGCGGAAGAAGCAGTAGAAGCGGGCAGAACGGGGTCCGACGCCCCCACTTTCCTGGAACGGACGGGCGCCGATGGAACGTGCTATCGGCGTTTGGCGTACAGCAGTATCGGGATCTAGACAGGCAAGTGAGTGTATGAGCCCCGCAGCACTAGCTCAGACGGGAGGAACTCACGTTCGGGAGAGGTTTGAAATTCGAGGACTCGACCAATGCGGAGCCTAGCGGTGGCAATTCGACAAACGCATGCCAGACATGCACTGCATCGTCTATATTGCGCGCCCAGTATGTCACTCGGAGGAGTACACGGCCTCTTCGGTGTAGAGGTTTGGGGGAGGGGTGACGGACCTCGAGAAGGTACGTACTAGGATCAGCGGTTTCGTGGGAGACCCCAAAAGCACATGAAACCTTGGGAGCAATGGAAGTTCCCCTCGACGGCGAACAAATAGCGCAGCACAATCGTCCGAGGGTGGGGAGGAAGTCGCAAGTCTCCTTTAGGACAGTGCTGGACGTGTGGCTGTGATGGCTACCATCGTACCCCGTTCCCCGGCAGAGCACATACAATGCTTTTTCCGCTAACAGAGAACAAAGGACTTTCGTCTAGGTAACCACTCTGCCACATCTGAGCAGATTCATGGACACGGGTGGCCGCCCACTGCAGCAACTGCTGCCGCTGGCTTTGGGCCCAGCTTGCCGAAGGCCATACACACGGCCGCCCGGTCGCACCGCTGCCTGCACAGAGGGAACCCGGAAAGGCAGGTTGCACTTTCGCCGCCCGCGGCGCCCCACCACTTCCGCGGCGGCAACGTGCAGAAGAATCATTGGATCATGCGGCCGAATGAAAGACATAACCTGGCCGTCCTAGGGTCCACGAACGCCGCGGGACACATAAGCTGTTCGTGACCCCCGGGCACTAGCAGGTACCTGAACCAGATGACTTCATGTATCACCACACAGCGGCCGCACCGGCGGCGAAACAAACCACGCCTGTGTCCTTGGACAATGGCCGCAGTCCGAACGAATCACGGTTCAGATCGGACGCACCTGGTCTAGACCACCGTGCCGCCGGGCCTTAATGAATGGTTCTCACAGGCGCGTCAAGCAGGCCCGCCGCCCGACGGGAGATGGACATTACATCTGTCACACGGACGCCAGCAGAACCTGATAATCTGGTGAGAGGCATCAGCGGTAAATTATGAGGTTCTGTGCAGAGGTACAGGTCCTGGAGTCGGCGGAGCCCGTATAGATCGAGAAATACTAGAAGTTGGCTGTGTATAGTCTACGATTACCGCCCAATCTTCACCCTCTGGGAGCGGTTGAGCTAGAATGACAACACGTCAGTGGGTCACCAGAGCCGCGAATCCGATGGAAGACATACGCGTCGCCGCTTCTTCAGCCTGAGAGGAGGACAGATGGTATCAGAATATGCGCTGTTTTGGCGGGCAATAGGAGGCTCACTTGTGCTTCTTCATCTTCTTTCTGCGCTTCCTCTTGGTGCTGTCCATGTACAGCTCAAACTCCGCCTCCGCCATGCTAACCTCCTCCGCGCGTCCTGACGTCAGGTCCAGGCCGAGCCGCTTCAGCGTGTCCTCCCACGCCAGCGAAGCCCCGATCCTGTTCACGACCATCGTCCGCGCCAGCTGACGCGCCGCGTCCGCATCGGCTTCCGGGGAGGCGTCTGCGAACTCCTCCATGCTCCCGTATTTGCTATTCTCGGACGCCGAGTGCGACGTGACCGGGAACAGCGACGAGTGCGTCTCGAAGAGAGATGACGGCGGCTGATTCAGCGTGAGCAGAGGTCGGTGGAGGGAGAAGAACTGGTGCAGCTTCAGGTCCTGGGGATTGATTCGTGGATGTACGGGTGCAAAGTGTGACGACATTGTCAGGGAGGATGTAGAGCCGATGGGTTCCACGTTCTGGGGGGACATCGATCCGACATCGTCCTTGGATGGAGTGGTAGAGACCTCGCCGTTGGACGAGTCGACGTTGGTCTTGCTCGTTGAGGGAGCGTCCTTGAGGTGTTTGGCGGGGACGAAGAAGCGGCCGCCGCCGGCTTTGGAGAAGGCAGAGTATGCCCTGCGGGCACCTGCTGCTGGCCGCAGCAGATGGCCAAGGACGGACATCGCGGGCGGGGAGCAGAGAGCGTTGAGGTCGTGTTCAGCGTCGTCCGACTCGACGTCCGCGCTTCTCCCCCCCTTGCAAAAACCACGTGGGATAAGCGCTTACAGCAAAGCGTCCAAACGGGCGCCCACCGGTACACCCAGCGCCACTGGGGCCGAGCCCACCCTTGTAGGTGCTCTTAGAATTCAACTCAAGTAGTAACTGCATCAAAGTGATAGATGGCGTGTATAAATATACAGTAACTTAGTTCGTATGCTACATGAAAGAAGACCGGGTATAGCACATTCGCAGCCAATATTGTCCAATTGCCCGTGTCGCGACCTCAGGTTACGGTGACGATCTGTCCCTTGCCGTCCTTGAGTATGACTAGCTCGCAATCGATCTTCTCTCCCGTATCCCCGCATACGACGTCGGTTGGGTCGACAGGGTCGAACTTGACCTGCCTGCGCTCCACGAACGACCGGCCTAGGATGACGTCGAAGTGCGACTCCTCCGTCAAGTAGACGGAGTGGACGGTCCGCGTGCGGCCCACGGTGACTGGCCATTTCCCTAGGCTGTGCAAAGTTAACGTTCGGGAACGCCGCGACAGTAACGGCAAGCGAATACGTACTTCACGATCCCGCTATACCCGTAATGCCCGGGCGCAGCATCCCTCGGGATGAACCCATTCTTGATCGCGAACTTGCGCGAGATGTACACATGGCGGTACCCCGTCTTGAGCAGCATACGCACTACACGCACACACACGCTGTCAGCCCTTGCAGGCCGAGTGGGAACAGGTGCACATGGACTGACCGTTGTTCACAGGGCCAATGCTGCCGCTGATCGTGCGGACACCGTTCTCGTTGTGGAACTTCTCGAACTCCTTCTTGAACTTGGGCAGGGTGTTCTCGGGCTTGGGCACCTTGCTGCGCTTGCGCGACTTCCCACTCGCGGCGGAGGAGCTCTCAGGCGTGCTCGGGAGCCGCGGGGAGTAAGGGGTGGGCTTGGGGCGGAACATGTAGAATGACGGGTTCTGATATTCAGGGGGCGAAGGAAGATGGGAGTCGGGATTGCGGACGAAGAGGATGGGCCAGCCCTCGCCTCCTGGGGTGGCGGACTTCAGCCTCCATGCGAATATGGCGTAGTCGGATGCTGCCAGGAACGAGTATTAGAGACTGCGTGGGTGTAGCGTCTGGTGAGCGTACCATCATCCATGTTCCACACTGTGCTGTTCCACTCGTATTTGACCCAACCTGGGCGTACATGTCTGCCATTGAGTTCTGACACGGTCTTCTTGCTTAGTTTGTCGAATAGCGTCTCCAAACTGTCTTCAGGGTCTAACATCGCAATTAGGAGATAGTTTGCAATAGCCGGGCAGTCCACTGACCTGAGTAGATGATAGCAAATGACGAAGTGGGAGTATGGACGTCAAGGATGGACGGGCCGGATTGTGCCATAGTTAGCGTTTGGTAAGTGTGGTGAGGTGATGTGAGAGGGCGCTCGGTGATGCTGTGACTTGTCCAGCGTCGCTCGTCGACAAACTCTTATGTTGGTACGGGGCGGATGTGGAGGAGCTAGATGGTGGGGCGCAGCGTCGGGTGTGCCAGAAGCAGAACCGTGGCAGCGACGCGCGCGGGTTCGATGTTTCGATCGCGACCGCAGTGCACGTGACCCAACAGCATATATCCGACAATTCCGCAGGAATAAACATCGAGTAGAAACCGCATTCAGGTTGAATCAATCATGGAAACAATCTCGCATATATGCCCAATGAGTACCGCATACACAGTATCTAATGAGAAGGCTGGCACTGGCTGTAGTATGGGGCTGAGACAGCGACACAAGTGAAGCCTGCGACGCAGGCGGTAGGACCGGTGAAGCCAGTTCCGCCGCATTGCCCATACTGTGAAACTAATTAATATAGAGTCCAAGTATCATCGGATTGCTGTACATACCGCGGTTTGAAGGGCTCCAGGTGCGCCACTGGTGGTCGAAGGCGGGACGGTAGAAGTGGGAGGTGCCGCCGGAGTGGTAGTGGGCGAGGCTCCACCACCGATGTACTTGCTGTAGGAAGACGAGTGTGATTGGCTCAGGTCAACACCGAAGAACGCGAACTGGTCGTGCTCCGTGAAGCTGGAATCGATGTCCGAGGGGTCTTCGACCGGCGTCTTCGTGGACGCGACGTAGGCGAGGACCGCGGTGCCGTCCAAGTTCTCTGAGCCGAGAGAGCCGCCGTCCCAAGCGGTGCAGTTCTGATGCATGGATTAGTGAGTGAATGCACTACGCTTCCACGGCTGAGTCGGCGCACCTGGCAGCGGAAGACGGCGTTGACGTGCGTGCTGTTGATCTTGGAGGGCGGGAGAAGTGTGATCTTCGGACCCGCGTAGGCGGTAGGGAGGACGTAGTCGCTACACAAGGGTTTCGTCAGTCTCAAATGATCGTGTGCGACGACTTCTAACTTACTCTGCCCAACGCGACCCAAGCATGATCTCATTGCCGTTGGGCCACATGGTGAACAGAAGGCTGTTAGACATCTGGCCTCCCATGCTGATGCCGCTCCAGCCAAACGAGGCGGGGACGACGAAGTTCACGATGTACTCGGTAGACGCAGGTGTCGCGTCGGGAGGCAAGATAACACCGATGGTCATGTCCAGTGTGGCGTCCTGTGCGTCGTAGCACCGTCAGGATATACTCAAAGAAGAGACTGTAGATGCTTACATGAATCCCTTGGAAGCAGAATCCGCTTGCAGCATCGCAGTACGATGAAGCGACCTGAGCAGACACTGCATGTCCTATGGTGAGCAATAATTGCGCGACATTTTGAGTAAAACATATACCGAACGACGAGGCAGCAAGCGCAAGTGCGAGAGCAGTTTTTAGGGTCATGTTTTCGGATGTGGTTTGGACAGATGTTGCGCCATCCTCATGTTGCTGCAGCCCTAATATATGTCTGCGGCACCCTATGTTGTCTGAAGCGCATGCAGTTCGTTCATGGCCATGTCGCAGCTTTTCCTAAGTGCAACCAAGAAAGCACCGTAGATCAAGCGGACGAGTAGCGTGCAGCGCATTATACATAGCACACCGACGACACCTCGGACAAGCCTCGCTGTATGGTGGTGGTGCAAGAGACGGGTGGAGCAGCGCAGAAGCCGCGCCGGGACGAGGAAGGCGGGGGAAGATGATCGGGTTGCCTAATCGGGCGAGTGCGAGTTGCCGACGCGCGGTTGTGGCGGAATTTTTGTCTGCCCTCCTCTGCACTCGACTTCCATCCTGCTCACGGGAAGGACCATCTGACGACTACGACCAAGGATCAACCCAACGTGAGGTCGCTCTAAAAACTACACACGATGTCCGCCGAAGACTCCGCGAGCAAGGCGTTCCCCCTCGCCCAAGCCGACCTCACCAACTCGGTGCGTTTCTCCAGGTTTTGTCCATGCCCGCCTGGTCCTGACTGCGCCGCGCTTCTTCGCCCGCTAGATCCTCGACCTCGTCGAGCGTGCGTCGCAGTTCAAGCAGCTCAAAAAAGGAGCCAATGAAGGTGTGCCACAACGCGCTCGGGTCCACCCGGCGGCTTCTAACGTTCTGTCCGCTCCCAGCCACGAAGACCCTCAACCGTGGTATCGCAGAGCTCATCATCTTGACTGCCGACACGGAGCCCCTGGAGATTCTTCTGCACCTCCCTCTACTCTGCGAGGAGAAGGTGGGTATCTCCGCTTCATCGGGGCCCTGCGTGCGTTCCCGCTCACCGTTTTCACACAGAACGTGTCGTACATTTTCGTGCCCTCCAAGGCTGCGCTGGGCCGTGCCTGTGGCGTGACCAGGCCCGTCATCGCCGCGAGCATTACCACGAACGAGAACAAGGAGCTTTCCAGTCAGATTCAGACCGTGCGGCTCGCAGTCGAGAGACTGACGTACTGATCGGGCCGGGTATCTGCTCCCTCACCTCTTCTCTCACTGGTAGCGCATTCTCCATGTACTCGATCGTATAACATGGCCCCATCGTGACACCGTGTACCTGAGCGCACCTCATGCGCAAGTTGCATGGCCAGACAAACAAAACCACGATGCATATACAAGCATTCCCCAGGAAAACATAATCATATAGTGTAAGAATATAACCCGACAACAGTACAGAGCAGATGGGATCGCCAGACGAAGAAACTTGTTTACTTTGGCACGTTCTCGCGCGCCTGCTGCTTGATGCGGCGCCTGCACGTCGGGTCAGTGTGAGTCAATGACTTGTAGAAACTACACGCACTCATATGCCACCTTGTCGTTCCTGAAAATACACGTCAGAAATGAGTGTAACGTGCGTAAGAGATATGCGCACTTGAACATGGTGTAAGCGTCACTTTGCGCCGGATCGTTGATGTTAGGGTCGTTTAGTAGTTCTTGGATCCCAAGAACGACCTAACGGGGATATTAGCGTTTCTGTGAGCAAATCGCAGGAGTTCCTGAGCACACTGACCTGCTTGATCGTAATCGCCGGTTTCCATGACTTCTCCTCGTCCAGGATAGACAGGCACACGGTCCCTGAGGGGTAGACATTCGGATGGAACAAGGGCGGCGAGAATTTACCTGCGGCAACACAGCCGTTATCCCCACAGTTCACGCGCAGCATGGCTCGGACCTACATTTGGGGGGCTTAGATGGATAGTCTAAAAACAAACTGAGCTCTCATGGATCCACACGGACAAGCTGGACGGGGCTCGTACCTTCGGGGAATATCATCATGAGCTTGTAGACACCACCTTCCCATGGTGTCTGTGTCCATGCGCTCAGCAACCCACGCCAAGAATAATTGAACGTCCAGGGCCACATACCCCAGCTTTTCCGGGGATTCCGACCTCCCACTCCAGGAGGTTCATGGAGCCATCGGCGGCTTTGGTGGGTTTAGCGTAGAAGCCCTTTGTGGTGTTCAGCGAAATGCCATACTGGAGAGCGCGATAAGACGCGTACGAAGGGGTGATCCTTGCGCCATTGCTTGCGCTCTTCAGCGAGACGGGCCCTGCAGATGCCAGACATGGCGGTTCGAGGAGAAGACGCGGTTGAGTGCAGCTGTGGCGGCAAGGGCGGGGCGCGCGTCGGCAACTGCCGATCCGGTGCGATCTTGGCTTAGTCAGCTAGGAATGGGAACGAGAAGCTGGGTGAGTGGCGACAATCGGGACCCTGGCTGCGCATGCGACCGCGCTCGACGAATATCCATCTGCTCGTGCTCAGACAATCCATCTATGCACTCGACCGCCAACAGAGCATCGTCGGCGGCGCGAAGCACTCATGCGGGGAAGCTGCTCGACCGCTAGGTCAGCCGAGGCTCTGGCTGCTTCTCAAACCGCGACTGACGGCCTTCCAGCGCCCTCCGAGTCCGTGTCTAGCTAAGCAGCTACCACCGCCGAACACGCATTCCCCTACCGAGGCGCAGCGTTTTCTTCGGCCCTTATCGCCACACTAATTGAGCCGGAATTTTCGAAGATCGCTCCGAAGCAGCTGCATGCGCCAAACCCAATCAGGCTCCCACTGGCATGAGTAGTGAGCCGCTTCTCCCAGCGACCGCTCTCCTCGGTCTCGCCATGACGTTATCCAAAGTTTTCTCGCTCGCTGACCATTTCCCTGCCACCAGGTACTGACAAGGCAAGGACGGCCTTCCTATGGGCGTCAAGGCATGGGCCCCCACATATATACTCCTCGTCCTCGGGGAGCTCCCTGCCTGACTCCTCGGTACACCACCTGGCTTGTGTTTGCACCGCTGTTGCTGACGACCACATGGCTTCCTACCAGGACGAGCTGCCCGAGAGCAGCTCCGATGGACGCAGCGGCAGTCCCGCACCATCGCTATACTCGTTCTCGTCCTCCGTCGACGGCCAAACAATGGTAGCCTTTATCTGGTATCACTGCAGCTTGATAACACAACTGACTTATACCTACTAGCTGAGGCAGATCTACGGACGCACCTTGAACAACCAAAACGACGTACGTGATTACTCCGCTCGGACTGACTTATATCTGACACCGTGATAGACGTACTTCTTACCCGCGGTAGGGCCCGCTAGATGCTTCGGCCGGACTGCGGAATGTGCTGATGGCCCTGTCTAGGACAACGAGGAGCACAGAAGACTCGACTTACAGCATCGGGTTATCACGCTCGCTCTCGGCGGACTATGCCCAGCACCAGACTTGGTCAGACGAGCTCTCCGTCCTAAACCGGGGAAGCAGCCCGGGATTCTAGACATCGGCACCGGAAGCGGGACATGGTGTGTAAGACCATATGTGTGTGTTATAGCGCTAACGCCTACCGTCCGTAGGGCGATCGAGATGGCGACGCTCTTCCCCCACTGTAACGTCGTAGGCGTTGACTTAGCGCCGCCGAGGGTCGATGGGTGAGCCGCGATCATCTGACGTCCGAACCCAATCCGATGGTCGCTGATTGTCTATCCGCAGAGACTGCCCACCGAACTGTCGGTATGTCGCCAATAGTTCATTGTGTCATTCGGTCTAGGAATTGAAGCATACCTTATCTGCAGATTCGAAATAGACGACGTTAGTCCCGTGCTATGTCTCGGCTGCGTCATGGCCACCGCGGCTCACATTTCAGCTCTAGGCGAACCTAGGGTTTAGTCATTATGAAGGCACATTCGACCTCATTCACGCACGCGCGATATCAGCTGGGGTACGCCGCGCACTCGCCGCTCAGAATGCCGCGATGGCTTATTTTGATAACACTAGATACGCGATTATCCTCGACTTCTAGAGGAATGCGCGCGAGCGTTACGACCCGGCGGCGTTATGATCTCCGGCGACGGGGACATGCAGCTCTTCGACGAGTGGCAGCAGCCGCTGTCCTACCTCGAGGAAGGTGCCCCCGGATTTACGTGGACCCACCGCGTCTTCTTTGCGGCGTACAACGCCATGAAAAATAGGGGAGGCAGCATCGATTCTCCCTCGATGTGTCCCTCGTGGCTGCGGTCTATAGATGCGTACACGGATGTTGGATGGCACAAGGTGTTCATCCCTATCGGTCCGTGGCCTCAAAGTAAGTCAACATTACACGACATATTTAGAGACTGCTGATGTGCGCCAACGTAGCGGCTGACCCCACAGAAAGGCTTACAGCGGAGATGCTCCGCGACGACTGCCTCAGGTACATCGCGGGGCTAACCCCGCTCCTACTCAGGTACGCGCGGGCGAACCTTCTCGTAAATGGTGGAGCTTACGCGCCGTGTCGCCAGCGAGGGATACCTCCCGGAAAGCGTGGAGATGATGCAGCGCGAAGCTGCTGCTGAGCTGCGCACCCTGCGCGCTCGCATCTACAGCCGTTGGGCGTTCGCTTGGGCTGTAAAAAAGTGACGGGAGGCCGACACGCTCCAGCGTGCCCACTGCCTCGAACCTTCGTACATGCGCGCCACTCTTCTGTAGTCGTCGACCTCATGGGTCTGTAACCTGCTTCGTAATCGGAGGCCCGTTTGGGCAGTATTGCTTCTAGGTGCCCTGAGTGCTCGCGGTGTGGTGGTGCCCGACGACCCACGGGTTGTGCCAAGCACACATTGCACCACCTGGCGACGTTGCCTTCTCGTCGTTCGCTGTCTTCCGTGGCGGCAACCCTCTCGTAACGCACTCCGCTGGACGGGCACCCGAAACCCCTAGAATATCGGATGCGTGGGGTTGCTCGACAGCAGATACCGCCCTTCTGGAGTCCCGCAAATTGCCGTCGTCCATCTTTGAGCGTGAGTTAGTTTCGTATCCGCTATGACCGGACATACTGTAGAGAGGCGACAGTCAGCGCACCGTCCGGAAGTTAAATGAACTGCAAGGTCGACTGTATTACACGCCTCATGATGTGTAGTGGCCACGAATATTGAGGTAGACGGCAGTGAAGCACGAGCTAATTGAATGGCTCTTACAAAGTTGCTGTAGCGGACAGTGTAAGCTCATACTCGACGAGGCAGTGTGCGTGAGTATTGCGTGTGAGAACGATACATGTGCCATGCACCCCCACGACGGCACGAACCATTAAAACTTTACTCAAACTTTACGCGGTGAGAACCTGCGCGTGTTGGCGTCCGAACCCGATCGAGGCTCGAGAGGAACGCGCGTCGCGCCTCCAGCACGTGACGGAAGTAGGAAACGTACGCCTGCAGACTGGCGCCCGAAGGGTGTACGCGTACGACCTCGACCACCATGAACTCCTTCCTCACCCGCTACTCCTCAACATCACCCGACGCCGACATCCGCAAGGCGAAGGAGCTCTATGGCGAAGACGAAGATGTCTCTGAGATGATGTGGGGCTCGGCGGGCGGCTTCGGCAACCTCGCCAAGGGCGTGCCCTCATTCAAGATTCCTGCAGTAGCAGACGTGCGTACTACGACGCGCATACGCGTGTTTATGTGCTATGTACATGCTCATGTTGCGGTGGATAGCCTTCATCATTCCTGCGCATGCACACGGACGACCATGCAGACCCCTCTTGCCGTATCAAAATCAAGCACGGTACGACGACGTTGGCCTTCAGATACAAGGGCGGTGTGATTGTCGCGGTCGATTCTCGGGCTACGGCGGGCAGCTATGTTGGTGAGTGGTTACACATATGTCCCCGTATCTCATCATATTGAACATCTTCTAGCATCCGGGACGGTGAAGAAGGTCATCGAGATCAACCCCTACCTACTGGGTACCATGGCCGGTGGCGCTGGTCAGTGCTCTTTCCGTACCTGCAAGTAGACGCCCATTGACTGTGATGTGTATAGCCGACTGCCAATACTGGGAGACATACCTCGGTATCCAGTGCAGGCTGCATGAACTCCGCAATCGCGAGCGCATCTCGGTCGCTGCCGCGAGCAAGTACTTGAGCAACCTCGTGTACAGCTACAAGGGAATGGGTCTCAGCATGGTACGTCTCGCTATGATCCATTACCCTCAACTCGTAGGCTCACGTACACACCTCTAGGGTACTATGATCTGCGGATGGGACAAGACTGTACGTATACCGCATGACACTCGATTCACATTGTTTTAACAAGGCCCCGCCTCTATAGGGTCCCGCAATCTTCTACGTCGACTCTGACGGATCCCGGCTCAAGGGCGATCTGTTCTCCGTTGGTTCCGGTAGCACATTCGCGTATGGTGTGCTCGACCAAGGATACAAGTGGGACCTGACAGACGAGGAGGCCCACGAGTTGGGCAGGCGCAGCATCTACGCTGCCGGTCACCGAGACGCGTTCTCCGGTAACACCGTCAACCTATACCATGTCCAGCAAGACGGCTGGAAGTTCATCGGTCAGTACTCGTTGCTGCCAAACTTCAGGTCGAAGAAGCTGATCGCATATATTGCTAACAGGGAACTACGACGTTTCGGAGCTGCACTACAACGGCCCCGGCGACAATGTTCCTGGTGCGCCCGGGGGTGGTTATGGATACGACATCCGTGTCGAGGGCCGTAGTTCGTCTAACGCGCCTGCGTAGAATATGGAGTGGTATCGCAGTGTATAGTATCAGCTGTTGCAACATATTTCTGGACTTTGCGTCGTTGACTGCTGGCAAACCACGTCCATCGACGCGAAAGCCACAACTTGAACGGTGCTGGACTCGGAGGATGTTGGGAAATTGATTTGCGCGCGGTCGTCTGCACATGCTTCAGTGGAGATCGGCGTTGCAAGATCTAGCAGATCTGATGTCATTCCAGGCACTCTGAGCCGCCGGAGCGTCCGACTCGTTTCCTCCTGCTCTCGTGCTCCCTTCGTCTATCTCGTCTCGCGTACATATGCACCACTTGTTTTCTCCACTCGACAGGCGATCATGAAACGCCTTTTCTCCAAGACATTCAAGCTCGCGCCTGAGCCAAAGCCGGCACAACCAGCCGGAGCGACCGCGGCGACTACGGAGCCTCCAGGGCACCACACTGGCTTGCAGCCTAAGGATGTGCTTCCGCCCGTCCCCCACCCATGTCCTTACGAGTATATCTCGATCTTGGCAACAACGGAAGGGATTCTGCTGCGGCCACGTCATCCCGGACGCGTGGAGGACGCATCGGAGTCGGAGGTCAGGATAGAGTGGGGCAAAGGCGGGAAGGTCGAGACCCTCTCCCCTGGTGCCGTCAAAGTCAACTGGGAGGAGAGCGTCGTTGTTTACGGTATACTTGGACTATTGGAAGTCTATTCGGGTGCGTATAGCTGTGCGCAATGATGTAACCATTGGCTGAACATACGCTATAGCTTCCTACCTCCTCGTCATCTCGTCAAGGAATGAAATCGGCACTTGTGAGGCGTTGTCTCGTTTCGACATGTTTAACTCCAACTGAACGTCATCTCTAAGTTCTTGACCCAAGGCACACCGTATACAGCGTCAAGGGCGTCACCGCTATACCTATGGTAGAGGAGCGGGCGCGCACCATTCTAGCTGCTCTAACGTCCCGTAACAACGTCGATCGGAGGGCTTCCCTGCTACCTACGGAAGCGGCTCGCGAAGCACATGCTATAGAGGAGACCGCCGCGGAAATAGACGACGTCGCACCAGACGGTGCCAAGTCTCCGCGAGTCAAGTTCGCTGACGAGGATCAGGTGAAGGTGGTCTCCCCACTCCCCGACAGGACTTTTGACGACGTAGAGGACTCTGGGCCCCCGTCGCCATCCTCAACCATCTCGACTCCGTCGTCGGACTTGTCTACCAACACGGACACCGTGGTCAAGACACTGGCAGACCGGCTGTCGTTCTGGACCAGACTTTCGAAGAGAAACTCGAGGCAGGCTCCGACGATTGATCATACTCTGGTGGAACAGTCAGATCAGACCCTCGGGGAACCTCTTGATATCGAGGCTATAGCCAAGGATGACTCCAAGGAGCGCGAAGAAGTGTTGGAGGCCATTGTATCCTCCGCCGCCCCCGCACCACAGACCATGGAGGAGAAGCATTCCGAGCTTGAAGACAAGATCGTTCGAGAATGTATCAGGGAGTTTACCAGAGGTGGGATGTACTTTGCGTATACCTTCGGTCAGTCTTTCGCGTCACCGTCTGTACATAAAACACTTATATAGCAACATAGACATGACACGCTCGCTTCAGCATAAACACGAGTTGATCGACAAAGCCAAGACGCAGAATGCGCTGCGGGAGACGCTCAATATCCTGGACGACTCGCAGCGGCTCAGCCCCGTACGCGAAACCGTCGATGTATTGGCCGAGCCATCTGCTGCACTTCCGCTCTGGCGCCGTGTAGACCGTCGGTTCTGGTGGAACGAATGGCTTTCAAAACCCTTCATTGACAATGGGGTAACTTACAACTTATGTTCCCGTACCATGTTTCCGTCTGACCGCGGCAGGATGCACAGCTTCATCCATATGTCCTGCCCATCATGCAAGGCTTTTACCAGATATCGTCTTTCCCCATTGCGCGGGAACCTGTCGCCTTCGAAGAAGGCAACGCCACCACTGTGGAATACGTCATCGTTTCTCGCAGATCGAGGGACCGTGCTGGCTTGAGGTACCAACGCCGTGGAATCGACGACGATGCCAATGTAGCCAACTTCGTCGAGACTGAGACGGTCATGCGTGTAGAGGTATGTTGGGCATGAACTGTGTCAAGAGCTTGAGCTTATTCTGCGGTAGCGGGAGGGGACTTCAAATGTTTTCAGCCATGTTCAGATCCGAGGATCGAGTAGGTGCCCGCGGCTGTTTCAGCGTACGGCCGGCTCACCACGGAGCAGTTCCTCTATTCTGGAATCAGCAAGGAATGGCCCTGAAGCCCGCCCCACAACTCAACCCGGAGCGCACGCACGACCAAAATTTGCGTGCAATTCAGCAGCATTTGGGCAAGGTCACTGCCGCTTATGGGCCTCTTGTATGTGGCTTTGCCTTTGCGCCGCAACGCTTCTCTGACACCTCAAGGAAGACTATCGTCAACCTCGCCGAGCAACACGGCAAAGAGGGGCAGGTTACGAACGCTTATGGTGATTATGTGAAGGAGCTCGCCCCCAAGGACGTGAAGTACGCCCGTGTCAGCACTGCAACTGCCTGATCAGACGCTAAGATAGCACAGGTATCACGCATACGATTTCCATGCGGCAACGAAAGGCATGAAGTGAGCTGCGCACTCCTCCCCTCAAACTCATGTTGCTGATCAGCTGCCTAGATACGAGAATATCTCGCTACTCATCGACGAGCTTGAGCGCACATTCGAAGCCCAGGGGTCGGTCCGACGTCCCTCACACCCAATAGCCTGCAGCTAATCCCCTCTTGGCAGATATTTCTGGATTTCGAACAACCACATCATGTCCACGCAGAAGGGCGTGTTCCGCGTCAACTGCATAGACGGCCTGGACCGTACCAACGTCGTTGAGGTGCGTGCGGCCGCCTACACGCGTGTTGTTGGAGTGGCATCGTTGATCGGGGCTGTAGTCGGCGTTTGCACGCCATGTGCTGAACCGCCAGCTCGGGGCCGTGGCCCTGCTCAATCAGGACGAACGGCGAACAGAGATGGACGTGGTGTTCAATGACGGTTTGTGCCATCTGTGTTTCAGCCATAGGTACATGCCACTGATGCTTGGCGTGTCCTCTACAGTCTGGGCCAACAACGGCGACGCTATCAGCCGTGCTTAGTATGTGGTTCTCCTTCTAATGCGCGGAGCGCTGACATTTGACTATTTGACGTGCAGCGCCGGGACGTCAGCCTTGAAGGTGTGCTGCATTTATCCAAACCTGTGTTTGATCGTTCACTTTAACTGCTGTCTAACGTAGGGTGACTTCACGAGGTAAGCTACGCACGATGTCAGCGAGGTTGCAGGGGCTGACCGCCCCATGCACAGGACGGGGAAGAGAGATCTCGCCGGCTTGCTAAACGATGGTGTCAACTCGCTCGCACGGTGCGTCCAACGCGCGTGTTGTGTTTCCGATGTGGCATCGGACTGACTCGCCTGCAGGATGTACAGCTCGACGTTTGCGGACTGGTTCAGCCAGGCCGTTATCGACTACATACTTGGCAACCGCACGACCTCCGTCTTTTCAGAGTTCCTAAACAAGCTGCAATCCACGGACCCGAGGGAGCTGATCCGCATCTCGAAGATTCGCGCAGACGCGATTGCGACGTGCGTTTCCCGTGTGCTGCCGGAGGGCGAGCGGCTGCTGTCCGGGTGGACCCTGTTTGCTCCGGAAGAGCTTAACGCCAAAATGGGCGACAAGTTTGAAGAGAAAGTGCTGCTCCTTGTGCGTTCATTTGCATGTCTCGTTGCATGGGCGTACTAACCTGCCCTTTCTAGAGCGCCAAAGCGCTCTATATTATTGTGCGTATGAGTACAGCATGTCAGAGAAGGTTGCGCTGATTTGCGCGCAGAGTTATGATTATACCCTGGAGAAAGTCAAGATGTATACCCGTGTCCCTCTCGGAGACATTATAGGAATTACCAAAGGTGATCGCGATCCACGACGTGGTGTTTTCTTTTACTGAACTCGTATTAATAGGCGCTTACATCCTATCACCATTGGAGGAAGCGAGCCGAGACCCCCTACAGAACGCTGGCTTCGTGGTTTCATGGCACAACTCGCTTGATCAGGACACGCGCGTCACCAGCTACTCGATACGGAATAGCTTGGATCTGACGACCCCTCCCACTTCCCCGTCGTCGGCAACCTTCTCGAGGCTTTCTATGACGGCACCACGGAAGAGCACGCTTCCGCTATCGCGGATCCTCTCAAACGCCGCCGCTCCGGTGGCCGGACAGGAGACAGCGTTCGCTGCATTCAAGGCGTTGCCCGTCGACCCTGCACGGGCTCGTCGGGAGAGCGGAAGCTTCATCCAGACCGCGGATGAACTCGCTAACGCGAAGAACTGCAAAGAAGCGGTCGATATGATCGTGGACGCGGTCCGCCAGGCATGCAAGGACATTGGGAACGACCACCACGAGTTCGTCACGGAGGCTGATGTTGTCAGGTACGTTTCCCTGTTTCCATGACTATGCACCGCTGCTGAGTCCACTTACACACGCAGCCTGGCGGAGGCCCAGAGGATGACCAGCGTGTACGCGAAGATGGAGTACGGTGTGAAGAGGCTGCTGTGGCTGGGCAGCTAGGGTGCGATCGCGCTATGAACACGATGTGGATGGAATGTACGCGTACAGCGAGCTTGCGGGTATTCAGCGCACCTGCGCCGTGTTGTGCTATTAGCGTTGCGGACGCGGGCGTGCATTTGAATGACTTTGACCAAAACGAGGCGCGGACATGAGCTGAGCCGGACCGAACCGAGCGCCTAAGCGAGCCGCGCCGGGCTGAGGTGGACAGTGGCGTCGTCTGGGGGGTTGTGTGCATCCTCCTTGTGCTCCTCCGGGAGAGCGGCCCCCTGCGTCTTCGTCCTCTGCGACTATATGCGCTAATATATCCCTGCCGGCATCCAGCCCACACTTAGTATTCCCCGCTGCACGCAGGTGTCCAGCACTATTCGAGCAACCCCCTTCCTCCACGCGCTAGAAAACCTCCGTCTCTGGTCTGCACTCTACTCTTATAAGCTGTATATTCTTGCACTCGCTCCCTATGGCGACCTCACACTCGTTACCGATCTCCTCCCCCAAGCGGACGGTCACTCAGCTACCCTTCTCTCCCTCTCAGGCGAGCACTGGTCCACCCAGTCTCCCAGGCATCAACACTAGCATCTCCGGGCTCTCCAAGCATTCTGCCGGAAGCATGCCTGGGTCCCCCACGACGCTCGCTCACCAGAGAGCGGGATCGGCGGTATCATCTCGCACTCGTCTTCCTCAAACCCCTACCCACCATGTCCCTCCGGAGCTCCCGATTGGACCCTCCGCGTCCATGCCGATTCTGCAACCGCGGCCGACTGCAGGTACGACCCATGTCGGTGGAATCATCCCATCCTCCTCCTTCTTTCACCCGTCGCGTCCAAACTACCCAGCCCCATCTCCCACGCCACCCTTGCCTCGACCGTCCACCACAGACTCAGTTTCATCCGTCGGAGGCACACCGGCGGATGTCCTCCGTCTCGCAGCGCTCGGAGGCGCCTACCAACGCGATAGGATCTCGGAGGGCACGGACAGTGCTGACCACTCTGCGGAGGACGTCAAGTCGTCGACGCTAGTACCATCACTCAGGACAGCGTCCATGAAGTACAGTCGTGAGCCTCTTCTTCCCATCGGCAATGGACCTACAGAGACGTCTGGTGCAGCGAATCGCCCAACGGTGCAGACGAGTCCGTATGGACGGAACGAGAACGCGGGGAGTCGAATGCGCGACAGTTTTGAGAAGCTGTTCAAGCGGCGTTTCAGCCTGGAGGGCAACCGACGGTCGCCGACCTCACCAGTCCACCCCGGTCCCAGCACCGCGTTCGGCCTCCAGTCCCGCTCTGCGGAGATATCTCCTGTCAACTTTGAGCTGAACGTGGACGGGACTGACCTGTCGCCTACCTCGCCAGGACACCGCAAGCACAGCTTGTCTCCGCTGCAGGGCTCCTCGACATCACTCAACCACGCGTCCTTCATTGCGACACCACCAACGCACATGAACCCTCCACTCAGCGCGACACCCGTCTTAGATAGCCGGACGGGGAAACCCATGCGAAACTACCAGCTCCACCCTTCGCGGAACCGATTCTTCCTCGGTGGTCGGCTGCTTACCGGCGGCGACTCGCCATGGGCGTTCATCGCCTCCCTCATCGTCGTTTTGAGCATAACCGGCATCTGGTTCGGCACGACGTGCGTATGGTGGTGGCAGAACGAGAGCCCAGCGGTCGCAGCGGTGGGCGCATACATGTGCCTACTGACCATTTCGAGCATGTTCGCGACGGTGAGTGGCTAGTTTCGAACGTGCCTTGCTGTGGCTGTGCAGCAGTTTGGCTGCGCATGGGGCCCATACTCACCTGCCGTGTTGTGGTTTGTTGGATGTGCTCCTGCAGGCGTTCCGAGATCCTGGGATCCTCCCGCGGAATCTGGATCCCGACCCCCCATATCCGGCGAGCTCGTCATCGGAGGGTAGCCTGAGGCAGCCGCTACCTCGAGACCTCAAGGTGCGAGCGGGAATGTGAGTGTGCTACTTCAGCGTTCGTGCGTCTATCCTCTGATGTGTCGGCGGCCTGCCACGAAGCGTACGTACGAAGTTTTGTCCCACATGTATGACCTACCGCCCGCCACGGTCGAGTCATTGTAAAATGGTACGCGTTTCATCTGTGACTACCTCGGTACGGCTTTGATTAATGGGGCGCTCTTTGCCGTTGGATCACATAGTGCGACAACTGCGTTGATGGCTGCGACCATCACTGTCAGTGGGTGAACAACTGTGTTGGGAGGCGCAATTATACCTCGTTCTTCACGTTTCTATTCTCTGCCGTAAGTGTCATTCCAGACCCCTGTCGTCCGCCAGGCACGCGTGGCGTGTTTTCGCCGTACAAGCTTCTGTCGAATATACTCACGAGGGCTCCACATGCAGGTGACTACCCTAGTCCTGGTGATATGCACGACCGCGATACATCTGTATTTGCTCACACGCAAGTACCACCTGAGCTTCCATCGGGCCCTCGGGACTTCCCAGGGCGTCGGAAGTGCGGTCGCATTTTGCATCTCGATCCTCGTCATTTGGCCAGTCATGGCGCTTCTCTCGTACCACCTCCGGGTAAGCGGTTTCGTCCACCCATGAACAGGGAATAGAGTTGACAATATCGGTTGATCGGGACAGCTGCTGCTCTTGAACGTCACCACGATCGAGCAGGTACGTGCTGTGTTCTCATCGCCGCCCGATCTGTCCGCGCGTGCGCCCCTCGCGCCGCTCGTTGTCCCGACCCCTGTCGGCGATCAACGAATGGGTGACTTATACGCCGCGCGCTGGTCGGGCCGGCCTTTCGTCTTTCCCGCACCGTCTCACAGCTACTGATCTCGCCGCGTTTAATTTTTCCTGTTCGTGTCACCGTGCACGCGAACACGGCGTAGATCCGAAACCAGGCGCACAAGTCGCTCGTCCCGGGCCCGGCGCCCCCGAACCCGTTCTCGCACGGGAGCTGGCGGCGGAACCTCGTGTACATGCTCTGTCGGCCCGCGGGGCAGTCGTGGCTGGACGCGCGTGGAATCGCGACCGAGGACAAGCGGGAGGTGAATCCCGGGCTGCTCCGTCAGGACGACTGGGGCGCGGAGGACATCGAGCATGGGATGGACCGGGGCAAGGGCGAGTGAGCGCACCCGAGCGGTTCGCCCACGGCGACCGTGCGCGTGGGGGTGGGTGGCGACGGTGGCCGGACGAGCCTATCTTGCTAGCCGCGTGTCTGTTATGGGGTTTTGGCTGCCGCAGCGTCGCACATTGGACCGTTGTCGGGCTTCGCATATCGCTCGCTGATACCGCGCGGGTCATGGTTGTGTGCAGACGGATGGGGGGAGTTCTACCGGCGCACGCGAGTGTAAATTATTCGTATACATTTCGCCCATCGGAACGCGGACGTCGACTCGAATTCGAGGGTGTGTCGCAGCTCGCAGGCGGGGATAGCTGCTTAGATAGATCAGGAGCGAGGTGTGGGCGCATCCGGTCACATTCGCGGGTGTGAGTGAGTGCGAGAGCTCTCGACGTCCGACGAGCGGAGGAAATATATTGTGGGTGTAGCGCGCAATGTGGCACGACGGTGTTCGTCAGCTTGTTAGAGTGTGAAGGGAGAAGCGATTAGCCGCCGGGGCCAGGCACGCACGCGGGCGCCTGGGCGATCGGAGAACGGGGGTGTGTATTATATAGAGCTGGCAGAGAGCAAGATCTGGGGTGGTGCGGACAAGGGCCCCGTGTCGCGGGCGATTGGGGAAAGAAGCCGCCGCGGTGATGTACGAAGTATGTAAAGTGCGCGCAGAGAGAGTTCTGTGCGACAGCAGGCAGCCGGGCGGGGGACGGAGCCCGTGCAGGAGGGCAGCGGACGGGCGCGGGTGTGCGGTGGCCATCACAGTGATATCAGCAGTGTCGCGGTGTGTATCAGTGTGTGCGATCGGTGGGTGTGACGGCGGGCGAGGCGGACGCGCGAGCCTCGCCGGATTCGGAAGCAGGGCGGGAGGGCAAGGCACGACGCCGGATGCGGGAAGACGCGCGAACCCGTCCACGCGGCGGTGACGCAACCAATGATCGCGGTTCCTTGTGCTACAATTGACTGCAGATCCCGTCTGCCCCCTTCCCCCTCCCACACCGCGCTTCCCGCCCCTGGGGCCGCGCAGACGAGGGCCCGGGACGCCGCCGCGGACACACAGCGCACGAGTCCGATGGTTTGCGGGCGCGTGGGGGGCGGGGGCGCGGCTGGGAGGGAAATGGCGGGCGGACAGCATTTATAGATCAAGGCTCTTACCGCACTGGGCGACCCAAATCTCCGAGCATGATGACATCCATCGGCCCGATCTCGCATGGGCTGATGGCACTGAGCGTGCCAAGGGTGACGCGGAGTCTGTGTGCGCGGGCGGAGAATGAAGCCGGCATCTCGGCAGGCGCGTTGAGCAGCGGGCGCGGGGACGACGTCCGAGACGGCCCCCTCCTCCTTGTCCTCGTCCTGCGCGCCCAGAACCGTCCCCTGCAGCGCCCTGTGCCCCCGTCGTCGTCTCCCCCCTCTGTTTGCCGGCCGCGCCGTCGCCAGGAACGTGCCCAGCGCGGTGCAGGCGCGTGCCCAGGAAGGCATCCCAGCTGCGAACCTCGGGAGTCTGTGCGGCAGCGTGTTATGTTTGTTGAGTAATCTACAGCCCAATCAGTCACAAACAGCATAACAAGAATGGACCGAAACCCAAGCGTCCCGTCCTCCTCGGCCTCTGTTCCCACATCCTCCTCCCGCAAGGCCGCATCCGCTCCGAAGAACGACCCTCCGTCCCGGAAGCACAGAAAGCAGCCCAAGTCAAAGCCCCAGCGCGACCCAAACGACGCCCAAGCCCTCCCCTCGCCCAGCACCGACTCCCGCGACCCTCCTCCCCATTCTCCACCCCCTCCCGCGGACTCCTTGGGTATGCACCCTCAATTTCTAATCAGGCGCCCCTCACAAACTCACCGTCATCCTCTTCCATTTCCCCCCAGGCTCCCGCATTTCTAACATTCGCGATCAACCGCCCCCTTCCTCCGCCCGCTTCACTGCTCACCTTCAACCGTACCCTGGACCGACGGGTCCCGCTGCTCCTGTCTACGCCGCCATGAACCCCCAGTACCCGCTGAACGGCAGCCCATACCCGTCCTCGCCGTCCCCGTTCCACCAAGGACAACAGTCGGCGGGTTCGCCGCCTAACGGTCAGACTGCCACCACCCCGACCATGCCTACGCATGCTGCTGCCCAGTACCAGTATGCGGCTGTACACCCCCAGTATAGTCACCACCCGTACCCGCACTACCCCCAGTATCCGGTCTCGGGCATGATGATGTACCCTACCCAACCAGGTGCTCATCCGGAGTCGAGCAGTCAGCATGCGGCGGGGTCACCAGCCCCGCCGTCCTCGACAGGTAAACGTAAAAGGAAGTATACCCTTGACAGTGTCAACGGCAGGACGTCTGACGAAGAAGGTGCAGATTCTGGCGCGGACATTCAACGCGTCGGGTCGGGCTCTGGGCAGTCGCTTGTCGACAGCAAGAAGCGCACCAAGACCCAGCGCGCCTGCGACAGCTGTCGCTCCCGGAAAATAAGGTCAGTGTCCTTTTGCACATTGTTGTCCGCTACGCACCCTATTCATGTTCTTGTCTCCTCCCCCTGTCGCCTCCCATCCCTTCCCACCCCTGGACATCCGGCGCGGCTAACTCGGTATAATCTTCATAGATGCGACATCCTAACGGACGCTGATCCACCGGTATGCCAGCACTGTAAACAGTACTCCTTCGAATGCACCTTCTTCCTCCCCATCACCGAAACCCGCTTCAAGAAGAAGAAAATGGAGGAGGAAGCGGCCGCGGCCGCTGCAGCCGCTGCAGAGAAGGAGAAGGAGGTGGCTGAACGGAGTACGTCCTCGCCCCAGGCTGAGCACTCCAAAGCGAGTGACATCAAGGTTTACGGTGAGCTGATCTCGCCTTTACCTGCCCAGCCCCGACTCCCATTGAACTTGGATCCTTCGAAGGCCCCACTTCCGCTACGCATCTATTGCACTCGCAGGCCCTGGTGTCTTCACGAGCGTACGAGGCGTACGACCTACGCTACCACCACTCATGGGACGTGAGCTCGGACAACGCTGGGACTGGCATCATCCGCGTTCACGAACCAGAACAGGGGGAGCTGCAACTGGCGCTCCCGAAGCCGATCGACCTGCGTGTCGAGCGCGACGTTGTTGAGAAGCTCGTGAACTCCTATTTTACGGACGTGGCACCGATGCTGCCCGTGGTGACCCGAGAGGAGTTCATTGCGAGCAACCCACCGCCTCCAATACTGCTATACTCCATTTGTTTGGTCGCGGCGACACGGCGGGATGTCCCGCAGCAGGTGTTCGAGTCCGTTCGATACACCGTCAACAGCCTCATAAAGGCTGAAGACGTGTTATCGACGGCGTCGATCGTGAACATGCAGTCCCTGCTTATCCTTGCGATGGTGGGCGACTGCCACTCCCAGTACGTGCCCCACGCCTTATCAGCGCTGTGGGTGCGTCTAGGATGTGCGATCCGCATGGTGGGCTATCTAGTTTCTGTTGTTACGGTTGTCTTGCTCATTTGTTACCTCGAATGCATTGTGCCTGTAGGCGCAAGACTTGGGTTTACACCGCGCCGAGTCTGTCCCGCAGAACATTGAGCTCCGCAGACGACTTTGGGGCGTCTGTGTGATCAGTGACAGGTGGTGCGTATTTTCCCGGACCAACGTGCAGTGCTGCAATTTGCAGCGGATGAGGGACCGGTCCAACTGCTCACACGTACCTTGTGCTCAGGATAAGCCTCACCTTTGGACACCCGTACATGATCGACATCAGGGACTGCGACGCCCGCTTACCTTCGTCGGGCGACCCGAATGACTTGTACTTGGACGAGCTCGTGCGTCTGAGCGTCATCCTCGGCCGCGTCCAGAAAGCCATATATACGTGAGCCCCTTCCCGCTTCCGGCTGGGGTAGTGCTGCGGCCGCCCCGGCCGCCTCTCATTCTAGTGCCGCGGCTGACAATTTGGTTCGGCCGGCAGCCCGGCCGGCTTGAACATGACGAACGACGAGGAGCTGCATTCGCTCCTAGCAGACATTGAGGCCTGGAAGGACAACCTCCCTGCGGATTTGCAGTTCCGTGGGCCAGAAAGCCCCCGCAGTGCCGGTGCGTGCTTCTCGTTCGCCCGCCGTCGCAGAGCGTCGTGCCCGCCGCGGGGTGCTTTGTTGTGCCGACGCGCTCAAAGTATGCCGTGGCGCGGCCGAGGCATGCCGACGGCAGGGGGATCATCGCCGGCGACTAGCATTCTGACCGGCTGACACTCGTTTTGACGGATTAGGTCTTTTATTCATGCTGTTCACCACCGTCAACATGATATTTTGGCGGGTGTTCATGCGTATATCGTACGCGTGCCCGGCGCATCTCAAGTTCTCGCTTACGGTCGAGAAGTGGACGGCACTCGTGAAGATGTCCGGGGACGCGATCGACTGGCTGGACACGCACGAGACGCTGTACGACGTCTGGCTCCTGGTCGCGTACTGCACGACCTCGTGTGCGCTCATTCAGGTGTGGCGAGATTTGCTTGCTGCGGGCGTGACGGCGTGCTAACTGTGCAGCGACAGTACCACACGTACGCGCGGCGCCAGGACCCGGACGCGCAGGCGAAGCTCAAGAAGCTGCGGGACTGTGTGCGCAAGTGGGAGGCATCGCTCTCGCCCGACCACATGTCCGCTCGACGAAAGGCCGGTCGACACACGTCACAGACACGTCCCGCGTGCATGGCTAACACTCCCCACAGACTGCAGAGATCATCGCGCTCCTGTACGAGGCGACGCAGGCGCCGATTGCCCCGGGCAACGACCCGCCCGCGCTGAACCCGACGGGCGGCGTGAAGGGCATGCCGCCCCCAGCGGCGCTCAAGTTCCAAAAGGACGCGACGCGCCCTGGCGGCGGCGTGTTCGTCGTGAAGGCGCCGATGGACAAGGACCGGCTCGAGAACATGCCCGAGGGCACGATCATCAGCCCCGAGGCTGTCGCAGGCAATGCTGGAGACGGTGCGGATGCGGGAAGCGGGACAAGCGGGGACGAAGGTGAGGCGCCCGCTGCGGTGTCGAGTGAAGTGGGCTCGAAGAATGACTCTCTGCGTTCGTCCCTCCCTCCTGGCCCGCCCCCCGGCTCTCGGTCTGCGCCTGGCTCTGGTGTGTCGTCGTTCGACGCTCCCGCGTGGCCGCCTGCGTCCGCGTCTGCGTCCGCGTCCGCGCCTCTGTCGATGGCTATGCCGACGATGCTAGGCCGTGGTGGGGCCGCTCATATGCAGCAGGACCAGCAGCAGCATGCCCAACGGCATCAACACCAGCACCAACACCCGCACCACCACCAAATGCAGCAGCAGCAGCAACATGCAATGCAAATGCAAGCGGACCAGGCCGGGCCGTCCTCGATGGTACATTTCACGCCGCTGGGCGGCAACTTCCCGAACATGAACCCCGCGCTGGACAACCAGATGGGTTTGCCGGAGAACGTGCAGGTCATGAACGTCCTCGACCACCCGCAGGGCGGCAACATGAACGTGCTCGAGCAGCAGGCGATGGCGGACGCCGGCTTCCTCGAGGGCATCCCGCCGTCCATGTTCGACTGGGGTACGTCCGCACCTGCTTCTTGCATCTCTTCCCTCCGCGGACGCTGAGCATACGCTAACTGACGTGCATGATCTGCGCTGCCCCACAGGCCAATGGGAGCACTTCTTCTCGCGCTTCACGCCGTACCAAATGCGCATGAGCGGCGTGGACGCCGCGATGGCGGCGAACCCCGCGTCCCCGCAGGATCAGCAGCCACAGAACCCGCGGTACTTCCCCACCCCAGGCGACCCGGGCCTGTAGTCGGCGCGCCGCGGCGCCCCCGCCACGCGTGTCTCCCTCGACGGACGCGCCCTGGGCGTACGCGCGATGGAACGCCGCCGGCGCACGACGCCTGCCCTGGGCGCGCAAATAGAGCGAGCGGGCGGCGGTCACGGGGCGGGGCGACCCACTGGCCGCCCGCTGCACGCGTGGCTGCGTGACATCATCGTCGTGTTGTGTTGTGCTGCTGTTCGGTCCGCCGCTGCTGCTTCCCTGCTGTGTCTGGAACTCGTTTGCTCGTCCGACGCTCGTACGCGTAATTTTCCCTCACGCTCCCCGACCCCGCCCTCCGTACTACCCCCGCCGCTTTTACGCTTTTACAAGTAACTTACGACGTGGTCCCCTGTACATATCCGCCCCCACCTCCCTGTTTGAACGCGTGTGCGACAAGTACTGTACTACGGCATCTGCCGTTTTCTCTTTTATCTACGTTTCCTTCGTCCTCGCAGTTATCGTGTCGCTATCCTGATTCCTCTTGGCAATTACAGGCTGTTTTAAGTTTTTGATTTTGTGCGTTGCGGGTGCGTCATACAAGGTACCGCAGGTACCTGCCGCGACTTCCCGACCGGGAATTGTCAGCGGTCGGAGGCCTTGAGAATCATACCGGACGCCGCTGGTGCGCCTGGTGGCTGGCAAAGGGTTCGCGTGCATGTGCCTCGTTCTTGGCTGACGCAAAAAGAACTCAATGGGTTTCGACGTGCGTCCTGCTCGGTGCGCCTTCTAGTGAGCCTCGTGCAGGATTAAGCTCACGCGATGACAGAACCGACGCCGGAGCGGGTGAGGCGGCGTTGACGCGTGAGTAAGCCTAAGATAATTGATTCGGGCCCCGGCGCGCGAACAGCACGAAACCGCGTGTCTGCGGAGCCCTTGGGCTCGATGTGTTCCTCGATCAGGAGGCCATGGAAGGGCTAATCTGGTTTGAATCTTGTAGCGAGAAACGGTGCGTAGGCTGCCAGTCTAGACCACGGAAGCCCGGGGTGCCCGTGCTGCCAGAAGATAGGTGCGAGATCGAGCGAAGTACGTACCGCTACGGTGCGCCGTGGGCGGGGTGCCGGGGCGGGGGAGACACCCCAAATGCGCGTACCTGCACCTGCAACGTTTACGACACCCGACGGTGCCTTTACGTACGCATGGCCACCCAAAAGGCTGCCCTCCCCCGCGAAGGGGGTCAATCGGCGCGGGGGGTGGTGTCGGAGGAGCAGGGTCGCGCCGACGGCGCGAGGCGCCCGCGAACGTACATACACGCTCGCTTTGGGCATCGCACTTTCTAGCCTCGATTCTGGGCAGGAGGGGGCGAGGGCCGCGGCCGCGTTGTGGGCTGTTGTTCGTCCGCGCGTCCGTCGCCCACACAACCGTCGCGGACGCTTCGCCGATGCGATCGTCAGGCCGATCGATGCATCTCAGGCTCAGCGTGCCCTAGCCTGCGTGTGGCGGTCCTGGCCGAGACTGCAGGCCGCCAGGGACGGGTTCCTGGGGCGTGCGCGGCGCCAGGTACGCTGCCCGCCGTGGCATGCCGTGAGGGCTGAACGCGGCGCGTCTGGCGGGAGTGGCTGATGGCGGGCGGGGCGGTCTACCAAACGCCTGCTGCGCATCGACAGTCGACCGCGATCCACACAACTCGGTCGGGACTGCTCGTCGGCGCCAATCGCACGTGGGAAGGTATTACGTGGATCCCCGGTCACATGAATGTCACATGGTCGCGGTTAGCACATAAGCGCACGAGTACGTACGCGTACGCGTTGTGGCAACGCGCGTAGATCGTCCTTCTTTGAGGTACCATCTTCAACTTCTGCGCCTGTACCTCATATTCAACCTGAATTTGTCTCCAACATATCAAGGGCGACAAATCGCAGCTGACACATCTCGCTGTATGCGTTGGCGTAATTTTAGGCCGCGTCTTGAACTGCCGCATACAGTATGCCTCAAGCACCCGGAGCACACTAGTATGTTCATGAGATGACGATGGGCTACGGTGAGCATCTGATCAGTGATGATTTTGCATTCAAATACATTCAAGCAGATGAAGCTTGACTGACGTCCATGGTCAACAGCACACATTTATAGGTACCCCATAACGTTGCGTTGACCAACGGTGGCAGCATGAGAGGGTCTTCAACGACCATCGGTCAGCAGCTCGCTTTCCGACAGGCCGCCCGACACGACACCACTCTGCGAAGTCCCCCCGGACCATCTTAACGGCGACCAGCTACTGCGTACGCATATCCAGCCACCGCACTCCCATTTATACGCGTCCCCCTCTTCCCTCGACACGTCGGGCCCGTCGGGTTTGTTCGGACGACCGTCTTCAGCTTCGCTCCGCACCGTGAACCATAATCGCAGACTTCCAGGGTCCTTCTCAGGACGTCGGACCGAGCCATGCCCAGGGGCGGGACGTGTAGTCCACTGCGCTTCTCTTCGACCACCTTACGGTAATACGGCACGCACCGCATCAGGACTTGAGAGCTTCCCCCAGGGCCGAGGGCGAGGGACGCAGAACACCCGCTGGGGCCCCCGTGACGTTCCCCGCTGCATGCGCTTCGGACCAAGGATCCTCGGGCAAAGTGCCGCGGCGCTCCGTATCGCTCGCTGTTTGCGCGGCGCGGCGTCGGAGCGCAGGAAGTTGTGATGCGCTCGAGTGCGGGGGCGCACATATAGCGGATGCTGTAGACATGGGCGTGTCAAGATTCGAGTTGTTGCGACGCTGGCAGCGCAGGACAGCTTCGGTGGCAATGACGCGTGGGATGCGATGGGCTTCTGAACTTCTGTGAGTGCGATATCATCCGTACTGTATTGCGAGGTGATGTCAGTGTTCTCACCTGTCGGTTGCCGCCGATGGGATGCTGTAGCAGATGTGGAATGGTCGGGACACCGCTCGTCGACAGATGGTGGTACAGCCACCCGTGCTAGTGGCATTGCACGGTAGCCAAGCAGACACGACCGCATGAAGACCAGAGCAGCAGCATACGCCCGTCGTCTTGCAAGAGAGGCGCGACATATGGCGGGCGGAGGCCAGCTTCCCCGGATCACAAGGACGTTTCCCCACATGCATGATCTGCATGCGGACATAGCGTGCGCACAGGCGTGCGTGCGACGGGCGCTGATGGGGAAGGTGTACCTGTCGCTGCTTGCGTTTCAAGTGCAACCCAGGCATCGAAGGTCGCGGCGGGGCACGGTGTTCGCAGCTCAATATCGCACGTCGGTGGCTGCGATGCATACGGCCGCACCGGGACGGGGAGATTGCGGCGCGCGGACTCTCACTGGTGTGGAGAAATGAGCGTGCCAAATGAATCCCGGGATCTCGATGCAGGGTAGCTGGCTGGGACGGTTCTGCCGCGTCGAGAGGACGGACCGTGGGTGGTCGCGCGCAGCGATTGGACGCGGGGCGGGAGGAGTGCTAGACCATAACGGGCGGGCTCAATCAGATCTTCGCGTTCGGCTAGTGCAGCTGGAGTCGGCTATCCTGGGCAATGTTGTGCATCCTGGCTGCTCTTATCGTGCACGCCGTGACGTGAAAATACAGAGCTGGCATAGCACGGAAGCTCGAGCGTGCTGGGGTGGAATTGTCGTGTCGCGGGCAGGCAGGAGGGCTGGAACGAAGGCGCGTTTGGGCTGTGGCGGGGCGGAGACGCCCGGGGGAGAACAAATGGATTGCGGGCGCCAAGTTGTGGGAGGCGGTTGAGCGTGTTCTGTTCAGTTGATCGTTGGGTGGATATGTCTTCCTGCTTGTTACTGCTATTCTACTGCCCTCCCCTCTAATCTCTCTCTCTTCCGCCCCACCACCACCGCCCCGACCCGCCTCGCTAGACCTCCGTTCCCGACAGCGCATCCTGGCGACCTCACTCTCTTTATGGCCTCACTCCTTGCTCCCGCTCAGCCGGGCTCAGAGCGCATCTCTCAGATCCTTCCCACAGTAAAGTGTTCAAACTGCAACCAGCCCGTCCGTCTCGTAGATCTCGGCGACCATGTCTGCGCCCCGCTCCCTCCAGTACCTGCCCTGCCTGCCTCAGCCAGACCTCCGAACTCGCCTCGATCCGTGGCCGCCCTCCTGCCTACAAGACTCCAGAATCTCGTGAGTTCGTCCCCCGCACAGAATGCGCAGCGCACGTCGTCCGTGTCGCAATCCCCCTCGCGCCAGAAGAGCCCCGCACCACCACCTCAGCAAACACGTCCGACCGGTCGGGCGCGTGCCCCGTCATCAGCCTCAACCTTGAGCACGCGTAGCGGAGACGGCCGTGCGCGTGCCCCGTCGTCCGCATCCACCCTCAGCACGCGCAGCGGAGACAGCCGCCCAGAACGCGTCCCAAGCCCTCTCTCGCATACGTCGCGTGCACCTAGCAATGGCGACGACCAGTACCCGTTCCCGTCTGGCCCCGGGCCCTCCTCGCGTACCTCTCCGGGCATGGATGGGCGGAGCAATATCGCCGCGCCAGGCACGACCGCCCTCCGCCCAAGGACGCCTTCGACGGCGAGCGTGCGCCCCGGCGGGCTGCTCGCGAATGGCGTCCGGCAGCCTGTGCAGTCCAACCCGTCGCCGTACGGACAGAGCGGCGCGGGACCGATGTCGCCACCGTCTATCCGCCAGCGCTCCGGAACGAATGCGAGCACGCGCCCGTCGTTTGAGCAGGGTCCAGAAATCACGTACTCAAGCGAGGCGCGCACGAGGACGCCTGCCAACGACCCAATTCGCATGCGGGCGCCATCTGCAGCGAGTATGCGACCGTCGCTTGACCAGCAAAGACCGTCGTATATGGGAGGTCCTCCACCCATCAACGACCCAGTGCGTATGCGGGCGCCATCCGCAGCAAGTTTACGGCCTTCCCTCGACCAGCAGAGGCCACCCTACATGGGAAATGCTCCACCACCTCCGCGGCCGCCGACTTCGCCGGGGGGAACACCGCGGCTCGAACCAGACACGAAGATCGGCGGGGAGGCGGGTATGGCGGGCGTTGGTAGGCGCGGATTTGCAGCGGCGGCTCGTGCTGCGATGTTCACCACTATGGGACCTGCGCCTCCCATGCTGCAGGATCCGCGCATGATGACGCCCGTGCAGGGCATGGATGGAAGAAGGGCAAATGCGCCGCGGTTTTTGGACATTGCCTCGGCGACGAACTACGGTGAGCTTTTATACTGCTGTGGACGAGATGCGGCGTAGATTCTAAAACTGAATACGTTCCTATAGCGGCTGCGAATACTCCGCCGCTTTCTCCTGGATCTGGGACCGCGTCTATGTCCCCTCACTCTCCTTATTCACAGAAGTCGCCAATGTCAGCTGGAATGCCCTCGCCCGGCGCTCTAATGTCGCCAAACATCACGCCAACGACCCCTGCCGGCCCCAGGGTCGCGTCGCCACCCACAAGCCCTGTGAGCGTTCATAGCTTGCGCGACCGCATGCTCCCACCCTCCCAAGAGCCGCCCAAGGCTCCGCTTCCAGACCCGCCGTCAACGCCACGACTGCCGTTCTTCGAGAAGTTCAAAAACAAACTCCCGGCAGTGGACACCTCCGCGCAGTCGCCCGGCGCGGGGGCCGGCTCGGCGGACCCCTCACCCCTGTCGCCACTCTCCGATGATGGTAGCTACGGCGGCCTTGCGTACGCCGATTCGGACGACGACGACGACCTTCCGCTGCGTGCGAGCCCGCTGCCCCTCGCGACCCCCGCGAAGCCCGCCGCTGTCGCGGGCAGCGGCAACAAGGTCCGTTTCCCGTCCATGACCAACAGCGAATCCAAGTACTCGTCCGCTTCCTCTTCCTCGTCTGCTACCACATCCCCGCCCCCCATGCCCCAACGCAGTCTGTCTACCTCTACCGCCGGCTCGTCGTACTCGTCGCGTACGATCGCAAAGTCGACCGGCGCGCTCGACCGCGCAATGGAGACGCTCTTCGAGGACGGCCCGTCGTCTCCGACAGCCAGTACCACGTCTCGCGCCTTCACCGCTGCGGATCCGTACCGCGAGAGCGTGAGCAGCATCAAGTCGCCAAAGCCCCCGATCCGCTCACATACCAGCCCGACACTCCCGTCGTCGGCGCGTGCGGAAGCTGCGAAGACCGCGGCGCGGCGGCCGAAGCGGCGGGTCTGCCTGCGGTGCGAGAAGCACATCGAGGATGGGCGGTGGATACAAGTCGAGGGCGGGAATGTGCTCTGCGACAAATGCTGGAAGAATATGTACCTGCCGAAGGTGAGCGCTTGTCTCGGCCGCGGGCGCTACCATCTATCCGTTATGCGACGAGCTTTGGCTGACGGGTGGAATGTTTAATTCATGCGCGTTTTCTAGTGTCGGCGTTGTAATAAGACTATCGAGAAGCAGGCGGTGTCGTCGTCGGACGGCCAGCTGAAAGGGAAGTACCACAAAGAATGTTTCAGCTGCTTTACATGCGAGGTGCGTCTGCTCTGCTTTCCTCATGCTTGCAGCGTGCTTAATCGACACGCTGCCTGTTTCACAGAAACCGTTCCCGGACAAGACATTTTACGTGTTTGACGGGAAGCCGTTCTGCGCATACCACTATCACGAGGAGAACAACTCGCTCTGCGCCGCGGCACGCTGCGGGCAGCCGATCGAGGGCCCGTGTGCGGTCTCGCATGCGGGCGACCGGTATCACCCCGAGCACCTCGTGTGTGAATACCGCGGATGCACGGAGCGACTCGTCGAGTACTACGAACTCGACGGGCGCATGTTGTGCGAACGCCACGCCGAGAAGGCGATCGACGAAGATGAGGACGACGAGCTCGGGCCCGCGGGCGACCGTACAACGGTCGCGATGAAGCGCGTCACGCGGTTCATCGACCTCGCCGCGCTCGGGCCTGTGCGGTAGCAACGCACGTAGGGGGTAGAAGGTGTGCATTTAATGGGCTTGAGCGTGCTGCGTACATGAACTAGGTTTACGGTTACGGCTTCTCACTTCTCTTCTCGTCGCTCCCGCGCATGCTACGAGTTCCCTCTTCTCTCTGACTACGGCTCTCTGCCTCTCTGCGCCTGATCTTACGCTTGTGTCTATCCCCTTCTCTTCTCTCTTCTTGGACGGACTCGCGGACCTTCTCGATGTATTTTTTCCACGCGCCCCCGTTCTCCGTTCCGTCTTCGCTCTCTGCGCTCCGCCCGCACGTCTATACGTCCGTCCCCCTATATCCCCGCCCTGCACGATATCCACTCCCACCTAACCACCCACACTTTTACGAACTGGTGCGTCGCGCCCATCTAATAGCCACGTACTGTGCATCTAGGACTGCATTTAGAGCCCCCGCCCCGTCCCGTCCCGCGGCGCTATATCCCTCCTCCTCACACACACACGCAGACTTGACTTATCACCCCCACCATCCCCGTCAATACCACCGTTCGTTGTATGTAAGAGCGCACCCGCGTATAGTCCGTCTATTGGCGGCCCATCTAATACAAAGAGATACAACAATATCGTGTGCCCGATGAACTCTGTTTCCTTCCCTGCATATAACCTGTGTTCGCAGGCATGCCATGTATCATACAACCGTGCAGAATCCGGCATTCAAGCGCGTCGCATGCGTTCATGATGCCGACGAATCGGCCGCCTGTTTCTGGTTCTTTACGATCCATTCGCGGATGTACGTGCTGCTCATCTTCGCGGTCCGGAGCACCGCCGCGTCCTCCGCGTCCACGCTCGCCTCCGTCGCAGAGATGACGTCGATCACGAACGTGCGCAGCGCCGGCAACGCCTGCTCCTCGCGCCGTTTCGCGACTACGTTCGCATAACATCGTCAGCGCGTGAAACCGACACATACACGCAATTAAGAACGCACTTGAGGATGCCCCAGAGAGCGTCTCCTTGCTGACGACGAGCGCCTGGATGTCCGCGTCCCAGCCCGTGGGCCCGAACACGTCGTCGATCGGGACGAGGTCATGCATGATGTCCGGGCGGAAGAGCTCGAGGAATGCGCGGGTGCGCGCAGTGCGCACGGGGAGCGGCTCGAGCACGGAGCGGTGCTCCTTCTTGCCGAGGAGCGCGTCGCCTGCGATGGGCGGCAGCGTCAGTGCACAGCCCAAGCGGAAGTCTGGGGATGGGAGGGAGGGAACGCACCGGTGATGCCGACGATGAGCTTCCTGCGCGCGATCCACGCGCCCATGCTCAGGAGGATCTTGTGGCCCGCGTGTAGATGGTCGAACGTCCCGCCGAGCGCGACCACCGGGTAGAGCGCGGGGACGGACGGGTCGAGGGGCGGCGAATCTGGGGGAGACGAGTGCGAGTGCACATCTGGCTCGAGCGGGATGATTTCCTCGCGCCGTTTCTGCAATGCAGCAGGGAGGGCGGGGAGGTGTGTGTCCGGCGGAACAACTACGGGTACGGACGCGCTCAGGTCAGGGAATGTATGCAGAAGACGTAGTGTTGAGCGCACCGGAGAATATTCGCTCAGCCTCGAGCGCAACCCGCTCTGGGAACGCGTCCGCTTCGGCGGTGCCGCGCAAGAGTACGTCGATATCCAGGAGGATGTTGCCCAAGTCCTGCGCGACCTTCGTCGCCTGCACGTACACGAACGTCAGAAGGCGTTGTACGTCGTCCCAGTGTGCCGTTCGCGAGACTCCGCGCGAGTGGTCGTCAGAAGCCGAGTCCGGGGGTAGGTCGAAGAAGGGCGAGAGGATCACGATGCGGAGGCCTGCGGTCGACGTGCGCGCGGCGGTAGATACGGAGGTCGCGAGGAAGTTCGGGGCATCGTGCAGATTATGGACGGTGGTAAGCAGGAGGGTGTGCTGGACATCCTTCAGTGAGGAGGTAAGAGCGGGAGACATGATCTTGCGGGGCTCGCGATTGGGAAATCTCAGAAGCACTACGGTGGCGTGCTCGAGCTCGATCACAACTTACAGACTGGAGTGCGGGGGCTGCTTAACGTTCTGGCGAGACTCTGGTCGTCGGGGAGCACAGACAAGGGGCATTTGTGGGCGACGGTGGGTGAGTGGCTTCGCGGTCTGGGATGGCCATACGTGGATTGCGCGATGACGAGCGAATCTGTGCTGCGTACATGAGGACGCCGACGCCGGCGTGATATGATGGACGTCTGCGGGTACAGCGCCCATAGTCACAGCTCAAAAGGCTCCGTTGAACCAGAGAAAGCGATACATTGCGGCTACACGAGCCAGATAGCAATAAGTCAGATGTCGTAAATGGGTCGTAAATCGTGATAAGTAGCGGTAGAGTCCGGTGAGTGTCAAGTAGTCAAAAGTACGATAATCCACGCCAATGCAAAGCAACGAGCTCAAGCAGGACCGAGGTCATGTCCGTGTACGAGGCGACGCCCGGCTACCGTGCAGGTCCTTCACGTCGAAGAATATACTGAAACCGAACGCGAGGCAAAGCAAGCATGATGCGGCGGTCGCAAGATTGTATGCATCGCACCTAGAAGCACCAACGACGCGTCAGCCGAGGATGTAGTCACTCTAGCAGACATACTCACCATCCTTCAAAGGCACCAACCGGACACCGCTTGCCGAGGAGTATCACGACAAACTCCGTGCCCCATAGGAGCAGCGCGAGGACGTCAACCGTCGTGCCCCACTTGAGCATCTTCCGCGCGTGCTTCCACTGCTCTTCCATCGCCAGTCCTGCGAAGATCCCCCGACGTCGTGGGGGCCTCCTCTGCCGCGCCGCACTCGACGAGCCGGCGTACGATCCCGGCAGCGCCTCCCCCCCGTCCTCGTCCTCTTCTTCGTCCTCTTCCCGCCCGCGTTCCCTATCGCGCCCGAACATGGAGGGGTCCACGATGAGGTTGACCTGGACACCCTCGCCTTGACCACCTTTGCCCTTCTTCCCCTTCTTCTTGTGCTTTCCCCCGGGAAGGCCTTGCACTGGAAGGACCATCATCCCACTAGGGCCAGCCATATACGGTCCGCCCTTCTGTTTCCGGGCGCCGCAACAACATGGGTAGATGAGGAAGAGGAATGTGCACCCGAGGAACGTGAGAACCGAGAGCACGTAGAGCAAGTACGCGGGCAGCTTGTTCGCAGGCGGGGCCGGAGAAGGCGGCTTGATGATCTATAGCGGCTGAGTGAGCATGCTGATGTTCGTGCAGCGGACTCGGAAAATGTCCGAGAAGCAGAAATTAAGGATACGGGACCGGTAGTGGCGCGCGACACGCACCAGTGCAGCATATATAGAGGATATCGCGGCGGTCAGCGCGAGCAGGGCTTGCACCCACCGCACGGCGAGTCGTTTCTTCGGTCCTTGGGTGATAAGCCGCCCTCGCTCGTCGATGCAGCCCACCATAGTCTCCGCCTCGCCCTCGTCCTTCGGCCCACCCTTCCCCCCAAACTCTCGCTCCAGCATTCGCATCCTCTCCTCTTTGGTCTCCGGGTTGATTGGGCGGTCTCCGTCCGGTGGATCGCCTCCCCAAGGGACCATGTTCTGGTCGCGTGAGTATCGGGACTGCGAGCCATACGCCGAGCTATATGGGTAAGTTGGTGGAGGTGACGAGTAAGGCTCGTGAAACGGGTCATGTTCGAAGGTATAAGCCGGGTCGAACGGAGACGGTTTGGGCTGGTCCTTGACGCCTCTGTCATCCAGTAGGGTAGGTGGGGAGAGCGGGTGTTGCGGGCCCGGGCGGTCCTGGGCGTACCATCCTCGCGCGAACGATGGGAACTGTGCGATGTCGATCTCAGAGCCTGGGCTCGCGATCTGAGGTTCTTCTCGGGGCCGTGACCAATGTGCCGAGGATGGGTCGCTGTGGTGCGAGCGTGTGGGAAAGGAAGGCGGAGGCAGGGAGAATGGACGCCGCACTGGGGAGCGTGGCGAGAACGAGTGCGACTGCGAACTAGAAGCGGAGGCCGAGACAAGGGAAGGCGGACTGAGCGAGTCTGTCCGAGCCAACGGCCGAAAGGGCTGCGGAGACGGCGGGTATGGGTCGTACGGCTGGAACGGTGGGTGCTGAGCCAAGTAATGCTCGTTCCGGTTGAGTGTGTGCGCGTAGTCTGCGAGATCGAGTGCTTCTACGGACACATCGGATGGCTCTCGGCGCTGCTCAGCAGCATAAAAGCCTGCCTGGTTCGGAGCTGCAAACCCGTGGCTTCTTAGGTTGGAGGTCGACGGAAGAGGGTCATATGGATCTGGAGACCATGGGCGTCGGAAGCGCGAAGTTGGCGGGGGAGATTCGAGTCGATGTTCTGAGAACATGTCTGGGTCGTCAGAGGTCGTGATATCGTAATTTCGTAAAAACCGTCTGTTGGGTATAGCTTATAAGATGTGGGCGCGGTAGTCGTCGCTACAGTGGTCAGCGTCGTGGGCGCGAGAGCATCGACCCCAGGAGGTGTGTGTGGACTGTGTGAGAGATCCCGACGAGCGCTTGTGGCTTCCCCGCAGTGCACGTTCGTCATTATTTCCGCGGATAAGCGGCAGATAAGTCCCGGGATAACCGTTCTTGGAATCCTTAGGGTTAAACTGCCCCAGAACGGATTGGATTTCGCCGCCTAATACTCTGTGAGGCGATTCAACCCAACGTTCCAAATCGGGCAAACTTAAAGCGCCCAAAGACATCCCAATCGGGCAAACCCCGGCGCCTGCCCTCTGATATATACTCCCACCTCCTCTCCCTTCCCCCCCTCGTCGACGCCCCCTCCCCGGGTGTCGCGCTGCTCAGCGGTGTCCCCGCTGAGCACGCGTTCGGCATCTTTGGTGCAGGGGCGGCCTCTTCCCGCCCATCCCCGCCTCCTCGCTTATTCGCTCACCCCGCGCCCTCGCGTACCCGCGCCCTCGCGTACCCGCCCCCTCGCGTACCCGCCCCCTCGCGTACCCGCCTTCTCGCGTACCCGCCCACTGCTTGGCCGCCCTGCTTGCGTGCTCGCCTTCGCCCTCGCCCGCTCCTTGCGACCCCGCCCCCGCCGCTCTTTGCGCCCTCGCCCTCGCCCGTTCTTCGTGCCCTCGCCGCGCTCTCTGCCCCCTCGCCCGCTCGCCACCCTCCTCACCCTCGCCCGCTCTCCTCGCCCATCTACCCGCCCGCCCTGTCATCGTGCTCGCCATGCTCGCCAGCTAGCTGCGATACTGCACGTGCCACGCGTACAACCCGCGCCGCTTCCCTAACCTTGTACGTCCGCGCCCTTACAACCCCGTGCATCGTCTCTGCGAGCCCCCAACCTCTTTGCGCGTCGCCACTACGATCCGGCTCTGCCTTGCGGCGAGCAATGCGCTTCCTCCGTCGCCATAAATTATTAGTACGCTGACTAGACATCGCCTCAATTGCATCCTTCAGTGATGTACTTTTGTACATATGTAGGTCTTAGTCGCTTTCCTGATGTTTGTATGCTCACTCTACAATCATCCGCCAGGTTTGTATGTCTTCCCCATATTCCATCGCATAGGCAGCAGCTATGCAGAGTGAAGTACGATTGGTGAGTTTTTTATTCACAAAGCTGCATTTACGCGGTGTTTAATGCCTTTTACCCTTAAATTGTTAGAGTGATAATGACACGTAAACTCGCCACCAGTGCTGTTGGCGTCCAAGTAAGGTGAGCATAGGATCAGCTGTTCTATCTGTTTATAAGGCATGTAGTACGGCTCAGGGGATGCAGGGAGCGGGGCTTAACCAGTGCCGCTCGTCCGATGTAGTTTGTCTCATAGTTTGTATCCTGATGCAATGTAGTCCTGTATAGACATTATATGTGCGTCAATATATCATGACATGAGCACCGACTCAGGTGTAGCTGTGACGTCCAGTAACTAGGGTGATACGATATTAGAAAATCTGCACATCTACTGCGTCTAACCGAGGCGGCTTTGACACCGCGTCACTGTATATGAGCGCAAATTTAATTCAGACACATACTCATACATGAGACTGAGGTCGGCGAGTAGACAGTGCGGAGCTTTGTGTATAAGTATGGGGGAAAACAACTTGAAACGAATCACTGCAACGGGACAAGTACGAGGTTATACGACTCCGTAATGGACGCAGGGTAGTCTTGTACTCCACCTAGCCCTCATGTACTACCTCGTTCTCCGAGTCGCACATTCTCGTCCGATGCGGGACACTCGTTCGTTGCTACATCTGCACGTCGCCTGCACTGACCAAGCATATATTTGATGCACGCTGATTAAACAAGCGGGCCCTGTGGTCGAACACCAAAGCAGCAACTTGTCCATGCTGGAATGTATGCAGCCACGGCATGTACAGACAGTCGCCTACAACTTACTTCATCTGCGTACGTACGGGAACACCAGTGCGAATCATGTCTGACTTGAGCAGTGCCACTCTAGATCTGCCTGTACTCGCCTCAAGCGTGCTACGTTCCTCCACCCGGGCTGAGCTACGACAAACCAGCGACGTAGTACTGGCTTGCGATTTCACTACCACCCATACATTGCTCATAAAATATCAATACCTTGCGTAATGTGTGCGGGGTACCCTTGCAGGCCCGAGCGGCAAGTGCGGTATTTCAAAGGCTTCGCACAGGGCACGGGGTGCGCGTGCGTCCGCCTTGCGCCCAACTCGCATCTTCCCCGCCGGATTCGTGATACTGGGATTGTCGGACCATTACAACCCATGGACCTGTAGGTCACTGCTTCCGTGGTCACTGGTACAGGGAAAGCGAGAGAGGGGAGCGAAAGCTTCGATGCGGTGCTGCCAGCCTTGATTTGTTGAAGAAAGATAATTGCGTGCCAGCCTCGGAGGGCGTATACTACTAGTAAAACTCCATATCGGCGGCGAAGTAGCGGCGAAGTGTTCGATCAACAACTTGGAACACCTGCGAGCATGGCCTGACGAGTATATTCGGCCGAATGCAATTTTTTGCGCGTGTAGCATTAAGTATACTACGAGACACTGCGACCGTCATGCCAGTGAGTGGCGTGTTGCATAGGCCACTATACAACAAGCCGGAATACGAAAGGAAATTAGACGGCAAGTATACGGCACTATACGGCTCGCGACATCTGAGCCCTGATCGAAAATGACTTCGTATGTGGCCCTGCAAGTCAGACGAGTGTTTGTAGAAATATATTGAGTATAGGATCGGGACATGTCTAACGTACATACGTGCACCAAGAGTAACTATGGAGGTACCGACAGTGTACATTGGCGCGTCACTTACCAACCGCCCACCGAATAATACATGCACAATATCTACCTGCGCAGCATTCATTACCTATAACATAGCAGTCGGTATCACCTTGGTGGCCTCCTCCTAGACCTCACGGTGTCGTGTACAAGTGTTAGCCATCCAAGCCATACTATAGCAACACTTACTCACCGTCAAAGGCAAAGAACCCCGGGAGAGCTAATCACAGCAACAGATGAATGCATCCTAGAAGGACTCAATCTGGCGGGGATGAGTAAGGATGACAAGGATGGCAGATACGCAGCAGCTCACAAAGGGGTGGCCGCTGCAGAGAGCCGTGCTTCACTAACAAGGACCACGTGCACAGAGGCAACGCGCGGAGGGGGCGGCGACGCAGACGGGAAGACGCTTACACATAGATTCCACATCAGGTAGCGAGAGCGGAGTGAGCGAGCGAGGGGGGTAGTCGGCCAGGTGAGGGCGAGGGGAGTGGGCGCAGGCGCGAAGAGTGGGCGGGCAAGGAGAGTGGCGAGTGGGCGAGCGAGGAAGCGGACACACGAGGACGCGAAGAGCGGGCAAGGGTGAGGACGGCGGGCGGGTAAGGGAGCGGAGAGCGCGGGGGCGGGGTCGCGAAGAGCGAGCGAGGGCGACGGCGACGGCGAGGGAGAGGGCGCAAAGAGCGGCGGGGGCGGGGTCGCAAGGAGCGGGCGAGGGCGAAGGCGAGCACGCAAGCAGGGCGGCCAAGCAGTGGGCGGGTACGCGAGAAGGCGGGTACGCGAGGGGGCGGGTACGCGAGGGGGCGGGTACGCGAGGGCGCGGGTACGCGAGGGCGCGGGGTGAGCGAATAAGCGAGGAGGCGGGGATGGGCGGGAAGAGGCCGCCCCTGCACCAAAGATGCCGAACGCGTGCTCAGCGGGGACACCGCTGAGCAGCGCGACACCCGGGGAGGGGGCGTCGACGAGGGGGGAAGGGAGAGGAGGTGGGAGTATATATCAGAGGGCAGGCGCCGGGGTTTGCCCGATTGGGATGT